ATATGCACACGTGTAAAGGTGAATCGATTTCATTTGCAAAAGAAAAAAATATTTTGTAAACAAATTTGCTTTCCCACAATCAGGTAATAAAAAAGAAAAAAATTTGAACTAATGAAAAAAATTCATTGTTTTGCATGATATAGTTAAAATCGCTTATTTCATTTCTTTCTAATGTTTAACTAAATAATAATATTGATTAATTAATTAAAACTAAATGGATAGAAAAACGTAGAAAAGAAACAAAACCAAAAAAAAACAGTTAATCTGAAAAGGAGGGTACGATTGTCAGGGGTCTTTTGTTCATTTGCACCGTTTATTTGTTTCTTTCTTTCAACATCTATTCTTTTAGAATCAAATCTATTGAACCACAATTATAAATTTTTTCTAATATAAATTTTTTTTTTCTTTTCAGTTTCTTTCTTCGACATTTCTTCTTTCGATATTTTTCTCTTCTATATGTTTCATGAAATCTTTTTGAAAGTCTTACTCTTTTTTAATTAATAAATGATTTGCTTTGATTGAGGGGAATTTTTTAGGTAGTACTGAAAAATTGTAAAAAGAGAAGAACTACTACTTAATGGTAATATTCTCTTTTTCTATTAGTTTCTTTTGTCATATCTTTCGTGTATTTTCATATTTCTTCACTTATTCAGGTACACATGCACTTTTGATTTTTCCTACTCTCCGTTTTTCAGGTGTGCAATCCAAGGCAAAAGACGCATGCACACCTCTTATCAGATATGTAATTCAGCATTGGAGGGCTGGAGGCGTAGAATGACTCAGTCTCAAATAAAGAGATATGGTTCGGACAAATTTGAGAGCCGCGCAGCCGTCACGTGCTATTTCTCACAAGTTACACCTGAAGCGTAATGTTGGATGCGTTTCAAGTATGCTTCTTATGTTTACAAAATCTGCTGCAATCTTGTTATTTCAAAAAAGAGAGAAAAACACCTTGCATATAATTGCAGCTCTTTTGTATACACCCTCCATTTATGTCGCAGTTATTTATTACAAAGTCTATTACAAATTACGTACATTCAATATTTCATTTTCATATGATCAATGTCGTTTAGTAAATCGAAGAATAGTCGCGCAGTTATGCACTACTAAGTTATTTATGAATATTGAAAAAAGAAATAAACGTTGATAATTAGACTATTTTGTTGTTTAAAAAGAATAAACAACTAAGGTGTAATTCGAAGCATACAATCATTGAAGATATTTAGTTATGTACATAATCACATTCATTGAAAACTTCTACAATTGAGAAAAAAAAAACTCATTATATGATTGCGTTGACTCTTCAACAGATTACTCAGAACAGTGTTGTTCGTTGCTTCTAGAAAACATTTTTTTAATCAACGTACAAACAAGATCCATTCACGATGATTGTCTATTTGGTAAACACTTGCTAATTCAGAATAACTTTTGTTAACTGCGCATGAATTAATTAACTAACTAAATTCAGTTACTGTTTCTTTTTTATTATACAATGACATTCATAAATTTTAACAATTAAACCGATTACTTACACTTTATAAGTGTCGACCATCATCCTATCAATTTTCTATCAAATGTACATTAATATGAGTAAAGTTAATAACAGATCAAAGTCAGATGAAAAAGATCATATAAGAATGTTAACAGTTGTCTCTTCAGTTATAATATCAAATTTTCTTAGTTAGAAATAATCAATATAAAATATGAATTTTGAAAAACTATGAATATTCGAATTATTGCTCTAAATTTATGACTAACAAACCGGGATTCATATTTCATCACAAGATTTTCATATACAAATCCTTTTAAAGATATTACAATCTCAATAGATCTGAATTAATATTCAAAATGTTCATTAAAACAGTTAACGATCATCTGAAAACATCCTCATCATGTGAAGTTTTCTCACAGCCAAAATTATACTGATAAATATTTGCGCCATATGATTGCTACGAAACTTCTGCTTCTGTTTTTTGTTTAATTAGGATTTGTTGAATATGTTTTGACAACCCAAGATTGAGACTCAGTGCAAATGGCAAGAGTCTATCAGGAATGTTGCCCAAAATTAATCACTACTTTAACAAACATTGCATCATCTCGAACATATTGATTATCGTCTTGTTGCATCATTGACAAAGTGAGGGATTCAGTATGCCAATGTGAATATTCATGTCTAATCGTGGTCTTTGAAAACGACTGGATGTAATATCTAGTCAAAAAAAGTCTATAGTATGTTGTTGTTGACGAGTTTGATCATACAAACAGAATGCAACTGTATAACGGAATGGAAATTTAAATGTTGCATCATTTGGATCACGCACGCGAACAAAAAAATGACATGTGTACATCGAGCTCGCATTTTGTAGCCAGATAAAAATATTTCATCATTAGACATAGATTGTATACCATCAATCCTGTTTTGCATTGAAATTAAATCTTGATTTAGAACATCTAGATTTCGTGTAATTCCTTCATAAAAAAAATGTTCTTTGCAGCCGCTTATTTCACGTTTGAAACATTTTCTTTAAGAAATGTTGTAGCTTATTTTCATGTACAACTGATTCAGTGTTTAAAATTTGACATCTTCGCTCAACGTTCCAGTACTTTTTGACAATGTATTGATAGTTTTATGAAGCTCTTTCAATTGATTTACAGCAACACTGTCATCTGTAATTGTAGTTGTTCGAAGACTATTAGTATCCATTTGATTAGATGTCATTTGAGTATTTCTTAACTGTAATTTCATTTTTCGAATTACATTAATAATTGAATCTCGATGTTGTTTACTTTGATAATAATTTGCTAATTCATAACGAAGAATCTAAATAAGATAAGATATGAATTAAAAATTTTATTGTTATAGAAAATATAAATCTATTGACAGCAACGAAAATGTTTTAATAAGCGTTCAACAGTAATCTTTCGACATTGAAATGCTTTATGTTGATTGAGTTGATTACCTGAAATGAATTCCTCATCGTAATAATTACATTTTGGATATTCGATGAGAGTGATCAAGATATTTCTTTGAAAGATAAACATAAAAAATGAAAGAATACGATGCTATTGATTGATATTACTTGATAGTTTTTTAAGATATAAGTCCAATTACAATGTGAATATATGACTGGTAAAGATTGTATGCGCTTTTTGAAACCTTGATCGAAAAGTGTCTTCAAATGATCCATATTAGATACTCGATTAAATTGAAAAAAAATGGTATCTTACTTGATCTCGTAGTTTTCGTAAAATAGATTTTCGACTAACCAATTCAAAATTTAAATAACACAAAAGGAAATAAAATTTTTTGAATGATCCTAAACATTGCATTTTTTCGAAAACTGATAATTAACTAACATTTTTTTTACTAAAGGAAATTCATTCGTGGTTGACATACAAAGCAAATTGCTATTTGAGATGATTAGAATGAGTTTCACGAGAAAAAATAGCCGTTTACTTAAAATTCTTTGAATAAATATTTTAATCAATCATTTATTGCTGAGTTAATGATTCATTTCTATACTTTATATTGTACTTATTTTACAAACAATTCCATTTATCTGTTTTTTTATCACAGGGTTTAGACGGAAAATAACTATTCTTTTGATGATTAGTTCCAGCGGCAATCTTTTCTAAAAACAAAGCAACAGTTTACTTTGGTCTTGTTGGATATTGGTTTATTTAAAAACTTTCTTTTGTAATAAAGGACTACAGAAAAAGAAGAATGTTAAAGTTATCTTTCATTATATGATATACGAAAAAAAAATGGCAATATGTAAGAACAATCAAAATGTTGACTAAGAACAAGAAAACATTGGTACAACAAAAAATTACAAAGTGTAATCCATAAGATTTATTTTATTGTTAAACGCAATCAACAAGTTACAATATTGTAGATTAGTGTCTTTGCAACAGTGAATGACGTCTTATATTGTTTCAACAAAACTTGACAAAGGAAAGTTTTGACGGATATTATTCTATTCTTTTTGCTAACTTTTCGTAGAACAAAAAAAGGTTTTAATTCGAAACATATTCATTCTTATGCAATTTGAGAAGCTCTATCCAGCTATCACGAAAAAAGAAAACGAAAAACAAAGTTTTTCTGAATTTTTGAACTACGAGGACCTCACATAAACTGCAAAACATCTTAAAGTTCGAATATCTCGGTCCATACACTAGAAGAACAGCCTATACTTTAAGTTTGCTAGTTTGCCGATGAAACCTTTAGTCTGATCTGAATATGTCCAGTCTTATTGACTAACATCACAAACACTGTCATTATTAAAAACTTTATAAGTCAACTGTAGGTTTACATCATCATATTACTAAAGTTAGAAGCAAATTATGTATTACAGGCAAGATCATCCACTGACGTATCAAGAATATAAAACATCAAGAGTAAATGTGTCAGAAGATTCATCATTCTATTCGCAAATGTTCTAGGCTCAAATGACAGATCACCCAAATTGCGTAGCTCCTATGAGAACACTTTTCGAATTTTTGATTCCAACTCATATTGCAAAATATCTACACAGGTCAAATATTTTTTTTCTAACTTAGCGCTGTCCTAACTCCTGACTATTGATTAGATTTCATGATCTATCACTAATATTTGTCGCATTCGATGATGGAGTTATATTAAATATAGCTTGGCGCATTATACTGCGTTATTTGGTGGCATTGCCAATGTTGTGGGACGATTTCCAAGTGATGTAGGTGTTTGTTGAGATTGTTGTTGTGCTCTTCGTTCTGTTTCTTGTTTTATCATTAATTGTTGAATATGCATAGGTAATCCAGGATTAAGACTCAAAGCATATGGTAACAATGTTTTTGGCATGTCATCAAAGTCAACCATTACTTTAATAAACATTGTATCCTCTCTTACATAGGGATTACCTTCTTGTTGAATCATCGTCAATGGAAAGAATTTAGGTATACCACTAGCAATATTCATTTCTGATCGTGGTCGCTGAAAACTATTTGATTTAATATCAGGACGAAAGGAATCAATAATATGTTGTTGTTGAGGAGTTTGATCATACAAACAAAATGTAACTTTATAATTGAAAGGAAATTTTACTATTGCATCATTTGGGCCACGCATAAGAACAAAAAACAATGATATATGTGTACGTCGAGCATTGTCATCACCATTAAGATAAAGTCGAGCTCGCATTTTATAGCCAGTAAATGACGAATAAAATGGAGGTGAATAAATCGATGTTTGTCGTTCCGATTGAGCGTCCACTAGAAAATGAATAAATCAATCAAAACATGATCTTAAAGAGTATTTTTTTTGTTTTTGTTTCTTCTAATCGATCAATTTATAATCAATATCGGCGAAGAAACTGAATTGTCTACTTCAATGATATAATCTTGTTTTTCTCCAAATGAAACTTACTCAGGTTTTCATGAAAATTGGTAATTTTCCATATTAATGTTCCATCATAAGATACATATTGCATACTATCAGTTTTTGGTTTTAATGTTGTAACATTTTCTTGAACAATATTTTGATTAGGTTTAACATCATTTAAAAAAGAATTTCGTTCTTGAATACTCAATTTGAGTGATGAAAGTTCTTGCGTCACAGATTCGGTAGAACTTTGTAAACGAATCGATTCACTACTAAGATATTGTGTATGATCACTTAATGTTTGGGTCTCATTAGTAAGAATATTTATTGTTTCGTATACTTCTTGCATTTGTGGACGTACATTTTCGTTTGTCGTTGTAGTGATTGAGCTAGGAGCACTTTGTCCGACATCAACATCCGTTCCTGATCCTTGTTCATGTTGATCATTTGTTGTTCTCGATGCAAAGCGATGCATAATACTAGCTAGTGTTTTTTGATGACTATAACTCAAATAATGGTCTTGTAATTGAGCTCGACAGACCTAAAGAAACCGTACAATACTGTTTATTTTTTATTAATTCAAGGAATGAATATGAAGAGCTAATAGAAGTAAATATGAATTTTAAAGTTTAACTTTTAATATTTTCTCTTGATAAAATATTAAAATTTACGATAATAATCTTTATTTTGAATAAACTAACAAGAGAAGACTATTTGTTTTCAATCTAAATACTATTTAATTCACAAATGGTGATTTCTGTTGTTGTATATAGCAAAATTATTTGTTTAAATAACTTCAACTTACTGAGTTCGAACAACCATATTCCTTAAGTGCACAAGGTACAATAATTTTAGTACATAGTTTTTGTTTGTGTTCATCAAGTCGAAACTTTGAATCAAATTTTTCTCCACAAAATTCACATGCTGGATTCGTATGAGTTGTTTTTAGATGTTCCTGAAATATGAATTCATCATAGCATTAAAATAAATAATGAAAATAATTTTCATCTAAGATGATTATTTTACTTCATAGTCCTTGAATAAACCATTCCATAAACATAATGAACATGTAATTGATAATGATTTCATATCATTTTTGAAATCTTGGTCGAGTATTATCTTGACAAAAAAAAGAATTATTTCGTAAATAGAAAGCAACTTTAAAAACTGACTTCTTTTTTTGATGTTTCTTTCTGACATTCTGCACATCTAATAATGTCTCTTGATGAAAGAAATACAATGTTCAATTGAAATCAACAATCTATTTATATATACCCTTTAACAGCTTCTATGCAAGTTTTACATGGACGATGACCGCATGAAAGCTGACAAGGTTCTCGTAAAATTAGATCACACACTCGGCATCTGTACAATGGATTGATAGTGTCTCTGTTGCTTGCGTCAAAACCAACCATTCTTGAACAATAAAGCAACATGAAAATTCAATATTTTTCACAAATTCAATGAGAAATACATACTTTTATGCTGTTTTTATATTGTTTTCAATATCAATTGTATTTATTGAATATTTGCTACTATCTAAGCACATAATTGAGTTTAAGTTTCTTTTAATTAAAATATGTGGTACTTTATCAAATATTCGACTTAATCTTATTATCTCTAGTATTTTAATAAGATTTTCTTTAGTATCTCTTAAAAAGAACCCCACAGTACTGCTGAAAAGAAGTAGGTGGTGCTTGCTACTGCAAGAATAAAGAAATCTATATATTTTATTTGGCTTCAAACATACTGCGTGCATTTTAAGAAACGTAAAGTAATAAATGTGATGGATGTCATCATGTAGAAATAGTACTCATACTTCTTAAATTCACCTTCGTTCTCGTATTGTGTTTAAGGCTTTTCAAACAAATATAACTTCATATGATATTTATTCTATGGCTATTGTTTGATAAAAAACATTGCTACAATCATAACTTACTTTTAAAGTATTTAGATAAACTTAACAAAGATAAACATTGTTAGCATCGTAGAGTAAAGTACAAACGGTAGTGCTCTATCACTTGAAAAATGTATTACTAATTGTAATATATTTGTCTTCGACTTTTTATTCGCTCTTGTCAGGTTTTTGTTGAATTTTTCTTTTTTTTTTCCTTTTTCATATGACTTGTTTCAGAAGATTCGTAATTCATTCGTTTTCCGTTCTTATCTTATTCTGTATTTGATGACGATAAATATAACATCACTTTGATATTTTAGTTCGAAGATTTAATGGGTTGCGTGAATTTCTGCCCACAGTATTTTTGATCCGATCCAAAATTTCGGTGTTTTTTCAGTTCAGATCGAGCTATCTTTAGGACTTGCGACTCGTGACCTCGTTGATCCCTAAGACAAAAAGAAAACTTTTTTTAGTTAGTGGCTAGACATCGCAGTACTGAACAGAAAGTTATAATAGGTTTGAGTGTCAATCAAGGGAAGGCTTAAACTCAGACACCCACATGCATAACATAGATAAGGCTTTGATTAGACAATGCTTTGCAAATATTTAAGAACTGTTTCATTTATAAAGATTTTACATACAAAAATTTACAACATTCAATTCTAATAGTTTGTTTATTTGAATTTTTACAATGGTTTCTGCATATTATGCTGAATCAAATCTTCCAATGCCAACAATTACATAGTTTCTGACAATGATGTCGCAATATAATTCAATTGACTGATAAGAAATTGTGCACATGTCTCTCTTATCTAACAGAATAATAAGAGCAAGTCAAAAACCAACTTTATGAATGATTCTGTATTGATATATGCAGAGAAATTTTCCAAAAGTAGTCAGTTTTAACGCTAAAATTCGTACCTATACTTTATTACAAGTAAAATGCTTGCATGATGTCAACAATAATACCTAGTATTTGCTTATTTTATCTGCTATCTTTTTTATCGTAATGCTATTTATTAGCCACTCAGTAGGCACATTGAAAGTTTGAAAACATAACTTATCGTAGTTTGAAATAAACGCATTGCTCTTTGAAAAACGTGACAACCTTCGAATTTCATTTAATTGCGAAATGTAGTGCAAAGATACGAATGTCGATTATAAAAAAGAAACTGATATGTTTCATAAATCACTTGATTTAGGTTCCTTTTTGTTGTTTTGAATCAGAATATTCGTGTTTTGATTCATCAGCTTGTTTCGATAGTTGATGATCATTATATCGAAATAGAATAATGTATGGTATTATTTGTCGGCGATTCAAATATATATATTAGAATCAGCAGAAATAAATTAACATTACAAAAGTAGTGTGAAAAATGATTGAGATCAAGAATTTTGACAAACTACTGTATATAAAATAAATTTGTAAGAGAGAGAGATAATCAATAGTTGCTCTTAGTACTAAAAAAAGGTAGTACCCATATGCAAATATGTAGAAAAGATTGATTTTAAAGCTTATGTATATAGAATTAAATTTTTCTTTTGAAGCATGAAGAACAACTGAACCGATTTCGAAGGGTTCATATTAATTTGATCATTGTATGAAATAAAAAGATCCCTACATCTCTTTTACTGTTATTGACATACTCTTTCATTATTTAAATTTAAATCGGTCGAAAGTTATAAACAATCAAATGAGTGAATGAAGAGCTTAAATTTTTCTATTTCTTCAACTTACAAGAGAACAAAAAGAAAAATAAAGAATATAGGGATACATTTTTTTCTTGCTTGATTATTTTTGCTAAAGTCAACATACGCTCTAGGCTATATGAAATGCCCTTTTTGTTCTTTTTTTTAGATTTTACAGTTAATTCAACTTTTTTTTTTGAACATGACTTACTTTCGAGCCAATGGCGAAAGGCTATAAATAATTATCAACAAGATGAATTATTCTTGTCAGTAAATATGATATTTCACCTACATAATAAATATAGAATATTTTATGTTTTAGTTACAAAGATAGTGGGTGAAATATGTTAAATGAGTGAAAATTTTACTTTAGAAACCAAACGTTTCTGTCAATTTCTGTCTTGATAGTTTGTTTTTTTTTTACTAAAAATAATTCTTTCATTTATTATCCATAAAAAGAAGTTAAAGAAACGGACAGCAATATGCTATAACAAAAGAAAAGTTTCTGCAAATATCATACGTATCTTTCATGATTAGAAAAAGTAATTATAGTAGAATGGAATTTAATTCAAGATAAAGTAGAAGGTCCAGTATTGAAAAAATGATCTATTTCTAGTTTTAAAGCAATGAAGATATCTATTTGAGTTGATAGGAAGTCAGCAATAAAAGATGTCTAGACACTTATTATGAATATTTCTCTTTTTGTTTATACATAACTTTGCGCAAAATTGAAGACTCATGTATACAGACAGATAGATATACTCGAGCACTAATATGAACGTTGTTAGATTTTGGCTACCATTTATATTGAACTTCATTAGTTGCTTTTTACTATTTTCTGTTCATTAAAATCGAACATTTTTTTTTTTTTAATGGAAAAATTGCAATCAGTTCAATGTTTGCATACTGTTTATGAAATATATGTTTTATCTTTTTTATATTCGTTTATTTATTTAATGAATTGTTATTTAATAAAAAAGAAGCAAAAGAAACGTAATGATTATGGTGTGAGTATAGAGAATAAGTTTTTAAAAAATACTGGTCGATTTCAAGAATTTAATTATTATAAAAGATAATGCTATCGAATAATATGTCCTTTAAAACATTGTCCTAAGTACCAGAAGTTGATATAGATATAGTTGAATAGGAATCACTCTGTATTTGTATATAAACTAATTCTCGTTGATATCCAGAACTGAAGAAATATCCTGAATGAATGATTCTTAACTTCTATGTATTGTCTAAACACAATAAAATTAACTATAAATTTTATCAAAAAAGTAGTTTTTCTATTAGAATCTCTTTTTTTTTCTTTTTCTTTATTCAATGTATTTTTAAAAAGCTTACAATTATATCCTAATGAATTACAATCAAAAGAATTCGTTATTTAATATGTTTCCATCATTATTTTGACAAAAAAAATAAAACGATCAACTCAATTGACTGCTATTTTATTATATTATAGTGTTGACTTTATATTATATGACAAAACAAAAAGAAAAAGAAGATATATCAGTTATTAAATGAGCCAAGAAATAAATTTGAAAGGCTAAGTGGAACATATTTTAGTCTGTATTGTTGGATGTTTTCTTTTGTCAGGAACTGTATGAAGTGTACGAATAGTAATTGAATTGTTGTTATTACGAACCAATGCAAATGTATGTACAATTTTACCCGCTACACGATTGGCTCTTGTCCAATAATTTAATCGATTTACATTAACAAATCTTAATTTAAATTGAGTAGATGTACCAATAAAAAGTAATGGAGTCCATATAACCGATGATTTAGCAAAACAAGCACTAATAAAAGTAATTAATGGTGGCATAGCATAATATTTACCCCGAAATGCTGAAATAAACAATGCAACAGCATATGGAGTCCAAGTGAAAATAAAACCTAATGTCGTTATAATAATACCTATGTTACAAAAAAAAATTCAATAAAAACTTTATTTTAATATTTTGTTTAAAATCGTTTCTTACTTTTAACAATACGTTGTTCCATTTCAATACGTTTTCGTGTAAATACTGTATGTATACCACGTTTGATTTTTTCACGCATTTGTTTAAAACCAATTAAAGTGACAGTATTTGTTGCAACAAGAATTACCAACGGAATAAAATAGACAAAGAGGAACAGAAAAAATGTAAATGATATGTAAGTGAGACGTCGATCATACCAATTAATACAACATGAAGTACGAACTCCCTAACAAAAACAAATATATATATATATATGTATATATTAGATATCATCTATTGTAATCTCATGCTTTAGAAATTTGAATTTTAAAAACTGAAATGCAAAAAAAAAGGATTAAATATCTTCTGATGATTATTATTCTAATATATGAAACTAGAGAAATATGACAAAAAAAAAACTTACTTCCATAACATATTCATTCCATCCAAAAACTGGTAACAGTGACCAAATAAAAGCAATCAACACAACACAGCTTGAAATTGTGACAGATTTTCTAACCTATATTGATTTGTTTTTTCTTTCTGAATATATATATATATAAATTTGTTACTTACAGTAACATGATTAGCAGCAAATGGACGCATAATAATATAACATCGACTAAGACTTACAACACAAAGTAAATAAGAACTTGAACATCCATAGAAAAATGCAATGACACTACTCAATTGACATCCAGCACGTTTATATAACCATCTACAATAAACTGATGATGTTCCAGTCGATGGAAGAATAGTACATGATGCCAAAAGACCCACAATTGCAATAAACATAACATGTATGTTAGGTGATGTACGAAGAGCTTTATATCGAATAAAACTATAAACGAGAGCTCCATTTAAAATAATACCAATAACAGCTGCAATACACATGAATATACCAATAATTCGAACAGTGTCACAATATATAGGTGTTAATTGATTCCAAAATTCAGGATCATTAGGCAAAAGATCTTCATTCATGATTAAAGAATAATTAAACCACATTTTGAACTTTCTCGTAAGACCTAAAACAACTACTGAAAGTTTCAATATTTTTATGGATTTTATCTTTTTCTTTCTGTTCCTTATACATAAAGAAAGAAATGTTTGCATGATTTGAGATAAAACATAGGTATTCTACAACAATGAGCTTCTTTCCACATGTATTATTTATTTATTGACTATAATAATCAATGCAGTTTTACAGACATATGACAGTCTATAAAAAGATTATCTCGCTATACTTAACTATGCAATCAGATTATTTACTTTTTGTTTTTTTAGATTCATGATAAATTAGAAATTTCACTATTATAGAATTATATACAGTACACATTTGTCATGTACATAAAGATATAAATATATCCAAGATTGAGATATAATAAATTATTCCAAATTTGATTATATTATTAGGTAACTTTAATATCCCTGTTGTAGAAATTATTATAATCTCTTTACAAACTATTTATCTTTTTCTATATTTTGTTATAAATCATGATCATAAAAATGTTCTACATTATTGCGAAACAATATTTCGGGTTTCATTATCAATGTTTTGAAATTGTTAATTAGCAAAATGCTTATAATTTGTCCGATTTTTTGTTTTATTGTATATTTAAAGAACGTTTCTTAAATAACTATCCACTTTTTGTTGTCTTCTTAAGTACTTATTATTTTTATACTTGAATACAATTCTTTATCTTTTAATTTATTAAATTTTCTTTATTCATCAATAATTTATAACACTTCTCAAATTCTAATACATCTCATCTGTCAACGAAAGAAACTTAATTCTTGTTAATAAAAATATTCATTCCATTGATGAAAGAATAAATCAGACTAATGTTTTATAATAATCCATCAAATCCACATTTTTAATTATGTCATAAATAAAATAACAAGAGATTTCATGACAAGAACAAAAAAAAACTTCTCATTTGTCTCATCATTAAATTATATTCTGGCATTTCTGCCATTCATCAATTTTATCTATGACTATCAATGCCTTTAAGCAGAAACAAAAAAGAATTTTCATACACGAAAACAAACAAAAAAAAAACGACTGAGAGAGAGAGAAAATGATTATTCACAATAAAGACACAAAAAAGAAAATGACAATACTTGCACACAGCAAACACGATTAAATATTAATATCAAAAGTACTCACTACATTATAATAGATAATACACTTGCATAAGAACAAAATCGACACAAAAAAAAATATTAAATACATCAAACATCGGAAGACTAAAAAATGAGAGAGAAAGATAGACAAAAACACTTGAGATTATTATTCATATATTTTTATTTAAATGACTAGATTATTATTGATTTGATGATATTAAATCAGTAGTTGTCAATGGTCCTTCGAGAAATAATTGACGAACATTTAATACAGCTGATAATTCAAGAATCATTTTATGTATTTGAACATTTTCAAGAAGATCATTAGATAATTGTGGTTGAGATGATGGATAAAAACCAGATCCCTAAGAAATAATTGTTTTTTTTCTCTTATATTTCAAATAACAAAAAAAAAAAAAAGTAAATTCCTACTTTAAATGCTCGATGTAAACGAAGTACAGCATAGCAAAAAACAAAACGTGAAAGAAATAAACGTAAAAATTCATCCGCAAAAAAATGATAAATTGTACTATCTACAAAAAAAAAACAAACAATATTAATTTTCTACCTAAAAAAAACAAATCATAATTTTTCTTACCAACAAGTTTTGATTTTAAAAATAATTTTGTTATTTCAAATATAATTTTATTAATATGTTCTTGACATAAATTCCATTGTTCATTTGTTAAATCATTTAAATGACATACAAAACAAAATGCATATATAGGTGATGTTAAAAATAATGTAAATAAACTTCCTTTATTTTGATAATCTATTTCAATAAAAATACAAAATTAATCAAAAGAAAAAAAAATCTTTCTTTTTTTTTTTTTTGATTACCATGAAATACTGTAGGTAATTTAATAGGTGAAAGTAATGATACAAATGGTTGACCAAATAAATTTGGCATATTTTGAAAAGCAATACTATTATTACTATCAATTATTAAAAATAATGGTTTACGTAAAAATGGATAAAGATCTCCTGGAAATATATTATGAATATCTTTAATTGATCCTATTGTTGTTGTTGTTGTTGTTATTGTTGATGATGATGGTGGAGATTTTTTTCCTAATGTATTTGTTGTTGATGTTGGTGGTGAATTAGAATTTTCAATTGTATCATCACGACGATTATTTGTTTTAACACCACCAAAATCATATGATTGTTCTATTTTACTTTTTAAATGTGTATCATAACCATCAGCGGATATATAAAGAAGAAGAATACCATGATTTGGTAATTCTTTAAATGCAGAAGCAGTAAAAGCATAGATTTGACTAAAATTTGGTTTATATAAAAGATATTTATGAGGATTTGGTCGATGTTGAAAATCACCATCGTGAAAATTCTAAATATTCAATAATTAACTTATGAGATTTACTTTTCATTAGAAAACTATCTCATAGAAAAATTTCAAAAGATACTATAGGTTTTTCATCATTTAGTTGTTATGAAACTCTATTTGAACATCAGAAAAATTCTTTCAAATTCTTTGATTTTTTTAGATAAATTCTTCTGATTACAAATTTTTTCTACTCGAATAAATGATTTACGCTAAACTGAAAGCTATGAGAATTGTGTTTACTGAATGGTAAATAAATTTCAAAGTTGCTGAGTATGGCAATTTTTTCGAATAACTCAAAAACAATGATTTTCATTACTTGAAAGAGAGCGATATCGGAAGTATCTATCTGTGTAATACTCACTAAGTTCGAAGTGTTCTATCCTAGTTACTACTTGTAAATTCACATATTTTTCGCCGTTTTGTTTTTTCATCAAACTTTAATTCAAATTATACATAAATGTAGCCGAAATCACTCTACATTCGTCATAAAATTTTCAGTTGCTCTTTTTCTTCAAGAGGATTTTTTTAAGAATATGATAATTTCTGTAGGAATACAGGATGATTTTGGCTACATTTATACATCATTTTAATTGAACTCTGATGAATAAAGGCAACGAAAAAAAAATGTCACTTTAACAACATTCATGAAAAAAGTCCTTCGAACCTAGTGGCAACTAGAGATTTCTATCACTTTTTTTTCTCGAGTTATTCAATAAATAGTTGCATGCATCAACTCTTTTTTTTTATAGATGGACAATAGTTATTATAAGAATCACGATAGTAGTTTCAACATGAGAGCACATTATTAATAGAAAAATGTCTCTTGTGACAATAATAAAAATTGATAAATTAAATATCCTTACATAAATGTCACGTTGTTGATGATTTATTGATGTTGGAGATTGAACAGTTGTTTTTTCATCATAAGATAATGTTGATTCAATTGGTTGTTTTTCAACAGCTTGTAACATTCGATACATATCAATTGTAACTAAACGAAAAAGATAAAATATTCTTATCTAAATAAATACAAAAGAAATTTCTTTTTTTTTGTTTTTTTTACGTTCACTAAATTTAATTTGATCTTGATAATTTCCAATAATCAGAATTTCTTCAACTGTATATAATTGTATATTAGATAAAATTTTTTCTGAACCTATTGGTAATGGTGGTACTAATGAATTAGTTAAACGATATGATAATGTTATTGGTATATGATCAATATTTAATTGATTATCAACATCAATAAATGTTGATATTTCATTTAATACAAGTTGCCATTCAAGACTATCATCTGGATCATATGCTTTAACATATTCATCTATTTGTCGATTTAATTCACATACTAATTCACGCATTATTTTTGTTTTTTTTAATAAAAGACAAACAACAATAAAACGTGCATAATAACGTAATTTTTTAACCATTAAATCAGGTTTTTCTTCACGATTTACTTTTGAATAATATGCACGTGTACGTATAGCAGAATAAAATGCAAAAGCTTCATTTAAATAATTTGTTTCCGATGTACGAATATAAAAATGATAATAAAGTTGACCAATTTTTGATGCTATTTCACCTATTTGCCAACGTTTAAGATTATATTTTTTATCGAGAAGAACTCTGATTACAAAAAAAAAAACAAAAATTTAATTAAAATAAAATAAACCAAAAAGAAACAAAAAAACAATAATATTTTATACCGATGTTGTTGTTGAAATTTCCATAATTTAGTATATACATCAAATGTTCGTCCAAAATATGGTTGCCATTGTTTATGACCATATTGTGGAAGATCTCTGAAAGACAAAGAAAAAAAAAAGTAGACAATATCCTTCAAAAGGAGAAAATTGTTCTATTTCTAGCAGAAAGATTTATTTAAAAAACGACATTCATTATTTCAAATCTCTAAATTTTTTTTTTGTATCGAATAAGACATTCAAATGTATCCTTATATAGTTCTTTCATCATCAAAACATGTTTTGTAGATCAGCGATACATGAAAAACACAAAATACCGAAAAAAACAATAGCGTTTTACTCAAAATTAACTTTTCTCCCACGCGTCTCGACTGATTGACCTGAAATTTTTTATGTCACAACTAACATCCAATCGGGGCGTATATAAATATATTTTCCTTAAATAATATTCTGATGACTTCAGGTGGATCTTACAAATTATCAAAACACATTTTCTGACAGGGTTTTCATTATTTTAGTTCTAACTAAATTCTGATTGTTTACGGAAAATCTCAGATCATATTTGGCGCCAATACACCTTATATTTTATAGAAGGAAACATCTGAGAATTCTGAGTGGATGGTAACTTTAACTCTACTAGTTCAGATTTATGTGCCCCAAAAAGTTTCATAATTTTTGGTAAAGCGATTCTTGAGAAATATGACAAAGCAAAGAGGATGCCCTTAAAGAGATGTCAATCACATTACTTTTTCACCTTTAGTATAAATAAATGTAAGTTATTCAAAAAGAGAACTCAATCATCCAATTTCTATTTTTCATAAGCAGAATTCAAAAATGAAATATAATTATATTCTCTCTTTGCTATGTAAATTTTAAAACAAAAGAAGCAAAACTTTTACCTTAATCCATTAAATAATTGTTTTGATTTTTCCAAAAGATGACTAAATTCTTGAACAATTTTATCTTCATAATCATTACCATTACCTTCATTTAAACGTTGTTGATCGCCAGGTGAGACATTTTTATCAATCGAACTTACACCTGTTGCGGTCATTCTTTCATTGTCTTAAACAATTTTTTATCATTTATAAATAACAACAAAAAAGAAAACAATCAAATCTACAAAACAAAAGCATATATATATGACTTAAATTCAGGTTTTTTTTTGTTTTCCTGATTCATTAAGTAGGCTTTTTTTTTTTTTCTTTTGTTAAAAGTTATGGACGGATAAAGACAACATCAATACAAATACAACATCATCATCATTAAAACATAATTAAATATGAATAAATTCTTTAAATTGATATTTGACAATATAACTAAATGAAATATAATCTTATGTAAACATTTGCATACTTGCAAAATTGTAAAATTTCTCAAGTTGTTCATTAGCATCTGTTGCTGATTGACTAATAAAATCTAATATGAAAATTTAATTCTAGTTCCGCAAAAAAAAAAGGAAAAAGTTTTTATCAATATAAATCTTACGAGATAAATTTTGATATTTTAATTTTATTAAATTATTAAGTAATTGTTGACATATTTGTATACAATTTGTACCAGCAAATTCAAGTCCTATAACAGGACCTTTTGTAACTAAAGAATTATATGTTGTATTTCCTGAAAATAATCGTGAAGCACTCATTTCATTGATTAAAAAATATTTTGTTTGAACAAGTACAAGCTAAATTTAGAAAACAAAAAAAAAAAATTTTTCTTTTAATCGAAAAATTTGACAAACTTCTGATTGTTTTGCCATTAAAACTAGTTCTCGAGCACAAGAATCAGCATTTGGATTATGAAAAAATACTACTAAACAACGCTAAAATACAAAAAAATTAAAAAAAGAAAAAGCTCATTAATTTATAATTTACTTCTTCGTTTCGATGACGATATAATTCTCCATAAGTAAAAGGTGTTACACTTGTTTCCATATTATCATTTATATTCATATGACTACATGATGGATCTATTGGTATTGGTAAATGTTTAAATAAATTTTCATTCTATTGAAAAATAAAATATAAAAATTCAATTCGATTCGATTCGATTCAAAAAAAAATAAACTCATCTTACTTGATCAAGTAATGAATAATTATTTCCACCAGGAATTGATGTAAAATCATGAATATTACCCCAAGTATTATTCCATGGACTAATATCAGCCAATTTATATTGCTCTATGATTGAAATAAAAAATAAATCTTTTTATTTATCATTGATTAATCCTTACCAGCTAATTTATCATAATTTAATGTTAAACATCCAAATTTAATATTATGTGATGACTCAATTATTGGTTGACTAGTACATGATAAATAAACATATAAATCACGACAATCTCGTGTACGAAATTGTTGACACACTGTTGCTAATATACAATTTGTTGAATCTCGAATAAAAACACTAAATACAAAAAAAAAATTAATATAATTTATTTCTAAGAAAAATATTTTCTTATACCTTCCATGAACAGGTCCAATTAATATTCGACAATTAGTACAATCATCAATTTGTATTTGACCTGTATGATCAAATACATAAACGGTACAATTCTATTAATTAAAGAAAATAAAATAAATTTTCAAACAATAATAACTACAATAACTAACGTCACAATTTTGTACTAGAAATATAAATCAATAAATTACGAATAAAAATCGATATAAAAATTTTTCAATCATACCTATAAATTGTTGTCCATTAATAGAACCTGATAATCGATAAATTATTTCATTTTTAAGTTTATCAAGAATAAAATCTTCTTTTCTTATTGCTTGTCGATCTTCTTTTTCCCTATACCAAAAAAAAAAAAGCAAAATTAAGAATATAAATCTATGCACGAATAACAAGCAAAATAGTCTCGTACCATGAGAACACTTGACGTGGTGTTTCAACTATGTCGGCACTAGCCGTAGGACGAAAGAAAAATGAAAATAGACATCCCATGTCTAATAACAAGATTCAAACAAGAAAAAAAAAATACACGCACGCACGCACATACACACACAGAACGAAACAGTTCTTTCGTTTTTCTTTCTCTTGTTTACGATGTCATTATCAATCAAAGATCTCTGCTTATTCCATGATATACCCAATATATTCCATTATTCCATTGCTTAAATAACTTAGTAAGAATGCAGAGAGAGAGAAAAAGAAAGAAAGAGGACGAATGATTTTCTATGTCTATATTACCATGGAACTGAAATGACAGTTGTCGATGATAAGAATTGATTCTTTTTTCTTTTGTTTCTTATTCAACCGATCATTTTGATCATGTCTCAACAAGGTGCTGCATTACAAAATTATAACAATGAATTAGTTAAATGTATATATATATATTTAGTTTTTTCTTTCTTTTTTTTTTCTAAATATTTATTTATAGGTATTGAAGATTTATGTGCTAAACGTGATGAATTACAACGACAAATTCTAATTGAAGAAGAAGATAAACATAAACTTGAGAATGAAATACGTTTATCAAGTGAAAAATTAGCTAAAATTAATGAAAATTTAGCAAAAAAAATTACAGCAAGAACAGAATTTGATCGAACAATAAGTGAAACTGAAGCTGCTTATATGAAAATTCTTGAAAGTTCACAAACACTTCTTAATGTAATAAATACTTTTATTTCTTTTGAATGTAGCTCAATTAATCATTATTTGTTACTTTTTTTTTCTAGGTACTCAAACGAGAATCACATTCACTTCGTACTAAAGTTGATGAATAAATTACTAATCTAGTTCACTCTTTCATACAATACAATATCACTATAAGTAATTCTATCTTCTTTTTCTTTTTTTCTGTCGTCTTGTCAGACACATTTATTTGTATAATAGGAATAAATATAAACTAAGTAAAATAAACAAAAGAAAAAATTATATTGAATAAACTCCAAATAGTAATTGAAAATTTTCAAAAAAAAAAAGAAAAAAATTATGCTTGGATGAAGTTTCTTGTAAATTATTGTTTAAAAATGTTTGTTAGAAACTAAAGAGTTTGTGAATGTTCTTTAAGTTATTTGTTCATTTAGGGAGATAGTTCTCTATTACAGCAGTTAGCCCATAATTCGTCCATAACATGATACTGTATGAGATGTAGTTCTAAGTTGTCTTGGATAAATACACAAGACATTTGCAATATAACGATAAAGTGGTTGTAAAAATCTCCATGGTAAAAATCTTCTTCGACTAAATATATATAAAATTCGACTTGTACATGGTTGATTTAGTCTATAATTTGGTGTCAAACATTGATAAACTAATGCATAATTTCTATAGTCGGTTTTTAATACATAAAAAGGCTGATGGAGTATTGTATTACTAGTGAGATTATCTTTTTGAAGAAAAAGTCTTGCACCACCAGGTGTTTGCATTAACCATGGACCAAATGAGTGACATTGTGATGCATTAACTCTTCGTGCTCTACCGTAAACAAGAAGACGTTGTCTTGGACGACCTTGTAATTGAAATGATAGAGAATAATCACTCCATACACCAGTTGGATTAATAGTTTGAGTTGTAAACCATTTTATTTCGAACCATATACCAAGAAATCTGTGTAGATTAAAATGTGGTTGAACTTGTAAGCTTGAAAATGAGGGTACTGTACATCCTATTGATTGATTAATTAATAAAAACCATCCTACCACCAGAAGCCAATGCATATTAATGTGTATTCTTGTTTTTATTAAAGGTAAAAAATAAGCATACAGGAGTATAACTAGGCATGCTGTTTATATACAAAACGAACTGTCGATATAATTAAGCTAAATAAATAATATGCGCAAAAGAGATAGGTAAACAAAAGGATTTAATATGCGTTGTAATTTTGTTTTTTTGCTGTGATGTTATGAGAAAATATCAATTATTCGTAAGAAAAGACACAGGTAAAAACTACCGTTTGAGGCTTCTTTTTTTTGTGATTGGATGATCCGATGTCTAACTGATACTTCAAAACAAAATAATCCATCGACTTATAAATACATACTCTTTTGTTTTCGGGGTACAATTTCATTGATACACGTTAATGTATACTATCATTAAAGCGTGGCAATATCAATCAGTGTTTCACATTGTTCATGTTCTTATGATCCAATCCGATCTGAATGAATCATTTTTTGGCCCAATTTCACTTCAAGTGTTTCTTTTTCATGATTAGATCTGATCGAATTCGAACTTTATTATCAGCGCCTCCTGTCTTTCTCTTGGGAAAATTTATCTTTTAAATCCTTTTTTGTTCTCTTCATTTCGTAGTTGAAAACAAAAGATATATTCTTGTCGTATTTTCGTCTTTGATATTTTTTAGCGAAATCAGGAACAATTTAGAAAAAAACATTCTTTTGAATTGACCAATGCTTTATATTCATTTGTATTCTACTGAGAAAAAAAAATAACATACCATAAATATATTGTTCAACTAATACGAAAGTACAAAAGATGCTTAGTGCCCAACTCTTACGCTAGACTCGAATTTCATTCACAAAAAACATAATAACAAACAAAATATACATCATGTAAATTAAGAATTTCTACGAAACAAATCAGTTAATAAAATATCGATTCTATATTATTGTTCATATTTTCGGTTTTACTTTAACAAGTATGCTTGAATTAAAATATAAATAAATAAAGTTATGTGTTTAAATAGTCACAATTCATTCTTATCTTAAATTTTAGCATGATCATAGTAACGAGTTATAATCATATTTTTCATCACTAATAAAATTGTGTTTTAAAAAAATTCAAAACTCGGAAGAAAACCATAAAAATCCAGCAAAAGGTACCAAAATTAGAAAGTATTCAGAAGCTTTCCTTTTTTTTTCAGAAAATCTAGCCGTCCCTGATCACCATTGAATAGACAGTTCATACGCCATGCATCATTTTTCAAGGTCGACAAAAAAAAATCAGCGAAATAGGAGAAAAGATAGTACAATACATAACTTCTGGTTCTACTTAGCTTTTTTAGATTCTCTTATAGAACTTCTAAATGGAAACAAAACGTTCAAAATGGCTTTTGTGCATGCAAAACGTTTAGATTGCACATCCAATTAGAAGTTCAAAATATTTTTTCATAATGCGAGTCGAGTCTCAAGGCCATTTTCTATTTTTTTGACCGTACCTGAGTCCTACTTTAATATCAATGTTAGCTATTGAAGAATGAAAAACATCAACGTACTAGATATTTGTCCTTGTCACAATGAATAAATAAAATGATTAATATATTCTATGATATATTCTTTCGACAGTAACATTCTCGATTGACAAATATTATAAACAAAATATATTCGAATATCGATAAAAAATCAAACATTTTATAAACAATTTCATTATAATAATAATATTTTAGATATGTTTTTTTTTTGTGATATTTTCTAATGTTGTTAACGTCATGATCGATAGTGAATATAATAAAAATTCATTGTTGAATAAGAAATATAGCAAATTTTGAATCTTGTTCAATGCGATCATTCCTTTATATTATTTTTATTTTTTTACTAGTTATAATTTATACTTTCTATTAGCAAGATTTTTAGGACCATTGACTCTTGCTTTCTATAGCAGATTAGGAAAGTGGCTGATACAGTTTGATTAAAATTTCTAGTAATGAATATTTTGAAATGATAAATATAACAAACGACTCAGAATTTTATTTTGATTCGAACTTTCTATCTCTAGGATTTGAGCAAAGTTGTTAGAAATCTGACTGAGACAAATTATTTTTCAATAGTACTGACCTCCATTTTTTTTTTGCTGTATTAATGGTCCAGCAAGCAAATAGCATTTTGCTCAATAGAAACTGACTGTTGATAATTTGACCTGTCTCTCTGATCACTTGAAAAATTCAAATAGTATTAAGTCAAATACATTTTTACTTCGATGATTTATATCATTGGTCATCATTAAATATTTGTTAGTTACAGTTGTTCTAAAGGAGAACTTTCTCTCATCGGAAACATCTTCGATACCTTATTTGGAGTGCTAGCTAAGATATTATTGTTGGTCTTTTAGTGATTTAATGATTATTTTTAATTCAGATTTGTCTCTTGAGCTAGTATATATAATCAATGTTGTTCACAAGTTATTTTTCCTGCTTGAATTATATAAAATGTAGAAAGATTTATTGATAAAAAATTCAAAGAATCAACTATTTTGATGTTCACATCAGGAAGAATTAGGTAGAGTAGTCATGTATTAGTGGCGTAACCATGGAGAACCCTAAGTAGGGCTCAGATTCACCACCGAGAACTTGAGTCCTATCATGCTTAGTCTGATATATAACAATAGACGAAATTCAATTATAGCACTCGCAAATGAAGTTTTAGTTGTTGAGGATGTCTGTGTAATTTCCAATAAAAGTTTTATCAGACAAATTAAAAGGTACCTAATGGTTTGCAAAAATAAAAGGGTCTCTCTTTATGTTTTGTTCTTTATTTATAGCTAAAGTATTTGATTATGATAAAGTATAATAACTAATTCGATCTATAATTCAAGAGCTTTATTCTTCTCGAAATAAAAAAATCTTTTCAACAATTACTTCAAACAATAATCAGTTTTTATCAAAAAAAACAACATAAATCCAAAGATAAACCAACATCAGATCGAAAACGACCTGTTTCTATCAGATTCAAAAACTCAGTTACTACTAATACGATGGGATAACACGATGATAATGAAAATGAACAATACTATAGAGCATACATCTATTACTGATCAATTGATAATATACTAGTTGAGTTAAAAGATCAATTTTTATCAAAAACTTAAAATATTTTATCAAGTGTTTCATCATTATGTCCAGATGGTGATACGTTTTTACATTTTGACTCGTTAAAACCACTTACTGATCATTTGAATTTTGATGTCGATGTTCTATTCAATGAATTAGTTGTTGTGTAACCGATGTTAGAACATGAATCATTAACTACTATAGTTGGTTTATATCAAGAATTATATCCTTTTACAGAAGTATTTTCAACACTGATTGCACTTATCGAAAGTACAATGACTATTCCAGTATTTTCAATGACCTGTAAACGCACATTTTCAAAAATGAAACTGGCCAAAACAACAGTGAGAAATACAACGAATGATGATCGTCTAAGCGATTTTTATTGATAAGTAGTCGAGTGTAGTATTGATATAGATTTTGAAAATCTTATTGTTAAATTCTCAGATATTCATAAAAGTAGTCGTATAATGTTGAAATAAATATTATTTTTTTTTTGGTGTTCATTATATTTTGCTCATTCATCTGAATTACTGGCTACTCATCAAGACTACTCAGTGTGTAAAAATAATCTTTTATCTGGGTTCTGATGTTATGTTTATGAGTTTATTGATATTGATCTCCTCATATATAAACTATGAGGGCTGAGCCCCACCACTCTTAAATTTCTGGTTACGCCGCTACCGTGTACACTAACGAATGATCAATTTCTTTCATGATGTTTTTTTAGAATTATCTATAACATGTGCTGTAACCAAATTGATAGACTTTTTTCTCAAAGATAATTCGAAATTACTTTTAAGGAAATTTCTTAAAAAATTCCTAATTTTTCGTGAGCAAGCAATCGATATCCAAATAATTTATAGTAAAACTTTCATGATATTCTAATTCTAAAAGAAAACATTCGTCCACGTAGCAGCTATGAAATTTGTTTCGTGTATATCTTTGTTTCAGTGAGTTTTATTATAGTCTTCATCGCAGGAAATATGATGTATCTATTTTATTGTTTTTATTTTTAACATTTTTATTTTCATTTGAAACAAAAAACAAATGAATACATTTGATGAACATAAACAAAATGTTTGTGATTGTGATATATGAGAAAATAACATAAGACTCGTGTCTGTCTCATCACATAAGAAAATGGAAACAAGAATCAAATATTTGATGATATGCGAAAAATCTGGGCGCAATGTATTCGTTCTTTTCAAGGATAACATGTTAAAACTACCTGCTACCTATTACAAAACGTTTTTTTTGCATTACCCAACTTTTATGTAGAGATCTTCATAGTGCGAAGTAGATCTGCTATTGATAGATCAAACGAAAAGATTTTTTTTTCAAAGAGAGTATATCATATGTCTTTATTACTATGGAAAATGACATGACAGTTATTGATGATAAGAACTGATTTATTTTTCTTTCTGATTCAATCGATCCATTTTGATCATGTCACAACAAGATGCTATATTACAAAATTACAACAATGAATTAGTTAAATATCTATATACATTCTTTTTTTGGTCTAGTTTTCTCTTCTATATGAAACAATATCACTAAAAGTAATCCTTTCTTTTTTTTTATTCTTTTGTTATCGGACACATTTATTTGTATATTTGAAGTAAATACAAAATATGTAAAATTAAAAAAAAAAATTTATTCATCAGACATATTTTTAATCCTAATGATGACGATGTATAACATGATCTTTCACTTTGTGGCGTTATTTCAAGTTTTGTTGAATCAACACATAAAATATTTTCAATATAATTATAAAGTTCATTTAAATATTCATTTGATAAAGAATTTTTTCGACTAAATATCCATAATACTGATTTGTTACATGGATCATTTTGTGTATAATTTTCTGACATACATGCATAAATTAATGCAGAATGATTATAATCAGTTTTTAATATATAATAAGGCCAATTAAGTATTTTACTACTATTGACATCTTGAGTTTGCAAAATCATTTTTGCACTATTATTTGCAATAATTAACCATGGACCAAATGAAAAACATTGTTCTGCATTAGGAAATCGTGCTTTACCATAAACAAGAAGACGTTGACTAACATTATTTTCTAATTGAAATGATTGAGAATAATCACTCCATATACTTGATGCATTATGATATTCACTTGATAGCCATTGTATTTCGTACCATATTCCAAGAAAATTTTGTAAACTAAAATTTGATTGAACAGTTAAATTTGAAAATGAAGGTACTGTACATCCCATTGATTTATTAATTAATAAAAGCAATTCTATTATGAGAAACCAATACATATTAATTTATTGTCTTGTTTTTATTAAAAATATAAAATAAGTATACAGAAATATACCTACGCACGCTATTTATATACAAAACGAACTGCCAATATAAATTAGTCAAGTATGTGACGTGTGAAATAGAGGTATGTAAACAAAATAATTTAATATACGTCGTTTTTTTTTGCTGCAGTTTTATGGAAGTATATTATTAATGACGTAAATAGGAAAAAACACAGACAAAAATTGCTATTTGATGTTTCTTTTTTTTTATCGATTGAATGATCTGATTTCTAACTAATACTTCAAAACAAGATAGTCCATCGATTTTTGAATACATTCTGTTTTTATTTCAAGACACTAGTTTATTCATGGACTCCAATGTACACTAGAATCAATTCTTGATAATATTCAATATTAGTTATTGAAGAATATAACATCATCAATGTATTACACATTTGAAGTTGTCATAATGAATAAATAAAATGATTTATGTATACGATAATATAGGTTTTTTTTTGGAAACTAACATTCTCTATCATATAAATAGTACAAAATATATTCGAATATTCATAAGAAATTAAATATTTTGTAAACAATTTTATTATGATTACAATATTTTAGACATGATTTTTTTTTTGTGATGTTTTTTAACTTTGTCAACATGATTATTGATAGTTAAAATTTAATAAAAATTCATAATTTAATAAGAAATATAACGATTTTTGAAGGTTGTTTAATTCGATTATTCCTTGATGATATCATTTTTATTTTCTTACTTGTTATAATTCATACGTTTTATATCTCATTCAGTAGAAAAATATCAAATCTTTATCTTGACTATAGAATTAATCCTATTAAAAATAAATATTGACAAAGATTATAGTTCATTGATCAATTATAAAACTATTCGAAACATTTTACCTATAAAAAATCTAAATAATCAAATTATCCCACTTTTGTTTTTAGTATCAAAGAGTGATGGATGAGAATAAAGAAAAGTATCAAATAACTTTCATTTTTATCGATGAATACAAAAGGATTTCGTTTTTAAATAATGTATCAACTATCGACCTTCTTTTTTTGTGTGTTAAAGATTTTTCAAAAAAAAAAAAAAAAAAAAAACAATTAACTATAACGAGACTATTCAATGAAAAAAAAAACAAATGAACAATAAGAAAATGATAAAATATCGAGAAGAAAAAAAAACCAGTACGCACACATGAATTATACTTCTTGAAAACGAGAAAGACAATGTGTACGAGATTGCGAACAAACGCATGATGTGATAGATACTTGTTTAAAAAAAAAAAGAAACTAACGAACAAACACAGTGCGAATTACACAAGTTTAACATCTATCCACACTGTATATAAACACGAACTGTAATATATAACACAATATAGAATGAATTCGAAAAATACATTCATATTGAAAAGAAATCGAATAAACACATACAAAATACTAAAAGTTCAAGGAATTAAGAACGTGAGAAAGAAAAAAAAGTAATATATATGAGCTTTGATTTTGTACAATATTTATAACATCATGCATCATTATTATTATTATTATTACTTATTTTTAGTTTTTCATAAACACGTGCAAATAAATCTTTATAATTTGTTAATTCATAAGATGGTTTACTTATTGATTGTTTATTTTCTAATAAAACTTCATCATATAATGATACTTCATGTTCAGGTGGTGAATAAATATTCGATAGAATTATATTTGAATTATCATTTGTATATTTTTCTAATAATTTTTTACAATGATTTAATTCATTTTGTAATGAATCATTATCATCACGACGTTGTCGTTCGAGTAATGTTATACGATCAATTAAATAACGTTTTTCTTGTCGAGATTTATCAAGTCTTTCATTTAATCTTGAACATTCTGTTGTTAATGAATTAATACGTGATTTTAGTTCAGTAAGTTGTGTTTTAAAAACTGATGCTGATGATACATCAAATCTATTTGAAGATGTTGATAAGTCTGACGATAATGATGATGACGACGAACTTGATATCGAATTAAAATCAAACGAATGAGAACGTCGTAGTTTTGTTGATTTTAATGTTGAATTATTCGATTTTTGTACAGGAGAATATAATTGTTTAGGAAAAAAATGAGTTGTAGACTGTTTTAATCGAAATGTCTCATATTCATGTTCAATATCAAGATATTGTTTACGTGTTTTTTCACATAAATCAGATAACCTAGAAGAAAAAAAAAAAAAAAGATCAAAAATAAATAATGATCTCAATGTATTAATAATCATCATTGTCTAGTTCATGCCCGTCGGTAAGATATGACTAGACAGTATATGTACGAATAATTAGAGCATAAATGATGAATATATATTATTTGTATATGTGTCTATTTTTATATATTCATATGGTTGAATGAATATTTTAATATGAATACTTACTCTTGAATACGTTGTCGATTTATTTCATTTTCTCGACGTTGTCGAGCAAGTTCTCGTTCTAAATCAATATTAGATGCATCTAATATTTCTGTTTGTTTACATTTTGTATCGAGTTGTTCACGAGTTGATTCAAGTTTAGCATGTAATAACTAAAATTTAATATAGATATAATATGTTACATCATATTATAATAATTAATAAAAGATATATGTCATATATTTATGTTTATTTTCAATGTTCTTACTTTTGTATTACATTCTTCATCATCAATTTGTTTTTGTAAAATATCTATATAATTTTGTAATTCTTGATTTCGTTCAAGTAAACATCTGCCAAGTTCAGCAGCTAATTGAAGATCTAAAGAATATTAAAATATTAAAAGAAATTTGTCTTAAAACAATAAACCTTTTTCATAATCATCAGAAGTTGATATTGATGATGATGATGTTGTTGTTGTTATTGCTGCTGCTTTTGAAGATGAAGAAAGAATTGTATTGTTAAGATCAAGTTCAGCACCATCCATGACTGACAATAGCATTATAGAAGCTCGTACATGTCGATTAACCTGAAACAAGTGACGTTTTCGTGATGGTATTGGTGAAATCATGTTCTGTTTCCTTTCGATATTTTAATACAATTATTTATCGGACTCAATTGATCATATTTTGAATAAAGAAGAGAAAGAAAAAATAGGAAAAGGGAACAGTTTATGTTCTTCTCTCTCTCTCTCTCTCTCGTTTCTTTTTCTCTTCATTTTCTTTATTCTTAATTCAACATGTTTGAGGGTGGAAAGACTAATTAAAACAATGTAATTCTAATCCTCTGCGTTGATAATCAAAAAAGTGTTCGAAAAAAAAGAATATAAAGTATTTATTTGAACAAACAATCGAATCGTTTTTATTCGCTTGTCTTTCATTTTCTTACTTGATTGGATTATATATGACTTTGGTACGAAATAACGTGGTAGTGAATGAGTTTACATACTATCACCTCTCTTTATATGCTTACGATACGAATAGGCATGTGTGCACATTGTTTTCCTTCTCTTCCTCCCGGCTGCTTAGTACTATGTGAAAGATAAGCCTTTTATATATATGTATGCGAAGCGTATATGTGAGTGTGTGTGTCATTTCCAGTAAAAGAAAAAACGAAGAAAACTATTGGTAGTAGCGATGATGATGTGGATCAATGATAGACACAGACCATTTTTTTTTTGTCATCGCTAGCGCTGCCGTCTCTTGTGATACATATAAACATGATAGAGAAAAAAAAGCGAGGCAAAAAAAGAGTAAGGCAGAAAGATAGGCTAAACAAATCTCTATCTATGTTGTCGTTTACTCAAAGATTATGTAGGTCTAACAGGCGTATATATAAACATTTGTATATGTGTATGTCAACTGAATCAAAAAGGTGTATGTGTTCAGGCATAAATTTTCATAGTATACTTTTTCTGTTCATAAAATCTATAGATCAATATCATCAATTATTTTTTGTCCTCTCTCCCTCTGATTCTCAAGTTTTTTATACACAATAATTTTTACAACGATTAATGCAGATGTTTCTTAGTGATATATTTTAGTTAGTATGAGCTATGCTTCGAGTTACACTATCATAATCACTTGTCCTCGAATACTGCATGTAATAAGAGGATTTTATATTTATTTTTCTTGTACATCGTCGCCTTCACATCTTTCTCTTTTTTTTTCGTGTACATATTAAAGATTGATGAATTGACTGATGCTATTTTTGTGATAATATATATATATAATCTTATTTATTCTTTGATGATTGTTGATTTTTCATTTGTTTTATGTGTATACATATATGACACATTAGTAGTTTCGTAGTTGAATAAAACTAAATCCTTGACTGACTCAATCGATTTCATGATTGAAAGAGAAAAAAAAATACGAAGGCAATGCATACAGTTATTTCATGTCTCTTCAAATTTCTTTTAGCTTATCGAAGAATAAAAAAAGAAAATCTGTTAAGATTGTTCATTGCATTTATCAAATATGAAAGTTAAATACATACAGAACTACAATCCGAAGATGAATGTTGATTTTTAATATTCCAAGTAGACATTGAATGAATTTTTTGAGTACTTGATAAAACAGTCCACGACGTAGTTCGTCTCAATAATCTTTCGTACATGAATATACTCTTCGATGTTTTTATGACGTCAGATAATAGAAGCACATTTATATACCTTTTTTTTTTTTTGTTTCTTTTGATATTGACTTTGATAGATCATTTGAGTATCTTATCTATTTATTCGTTTTTCTTTTTGTTTCACAATAGTTTGCTAAGTTCAGTTAAAATAATAAAAATGTCACATTGAATTACTCAATAAATAAAAAAAAAAGAAATTATATCTAACAATTGTTGTATTTATGAAAGAAAATGATTTAAATGTACTGTACACAATTTATGTGACGTATCGTTGTTGTTTTTTTGATCATACTGACGACAATATTATTTATAACGAAGCAAAAAACAAATAGATATTTATAGAAAATCTTTTTTTAACCGCCTGCTGTCTTTGTTTGTACGTGCACTTGAAGACTCAATAGCAGTCCAAATATGATGACTATAATATTAAATATAGTTTTTTTTCTTTCTGCATTCTTTTTTTATTGTATCATTTATTTTTCTTTTTGTATAGCATGATATTGTCATCAGTGTATACAAGAGTATATGAAAAAAAAAGGAGAAAATACAGTTTTATAAAAAAAACTAAATTTTTATTATTAATAGTAAAATATTAATATGCTGACATATTCTTATATTACATAGATTATTAGTGAATATGATATCATAGGCAACTTATTACAAGATTCAAGAAAAAAGAAATACTAAATTGAGCATCGTCAGATGGTGATGTTTTATCGTATGTGGTGAACGTTATTCCCATACGTAAGATTACATATCATTATAGTACATGTTCACATTATTCATAATATTGCATATGAACAAATGCATGATATCGTCGATCAAAATTCAAGTAGTTCCCGAATGAATACGCTGTACAGTCAGCCCTAATATAACTAGCTCAAATTTCACATGGAACTCATCAAGCACTATTCTTTCTACACCTCATTTATCAAAGTTGTGCAAATCATTAATCAGAAAACCGCTAATGAGTCTTTTGTTCGTATACATAACATCAGAAAGATGATCAATTAACCCATATGTATTTGTCGATAAGCGTAAGCATGCGTAATGTGATGTCAACCATTATTATTTCAAACATACACAATCTGATTATATATCTAATATGCTCAAGTTTAGTATAGCAAACAGAACTGCAACAAAATTATTTCTTTCTAATTATTCTTCTCATCACAATGATTTACTCTTGATCGTCTGCTCTTAATGATCTCAGTATTCGCTAATGGGACCGAATAAATAAATTTCTCGTCTTTGATCTCTAGATACATTTTTCTTTTGTTAAATTTTTTTCGTATTAAATTTCTTTTTTCCAAATAAATATTTTTTAACATTAATAATAAAATATTGTTTTAGTAGATTTTCATTTTTCTTCTTTTTTTGTAGCATATTAAGTGAACACGCATTGTATATGAATAAATAACTATTTTGAGATTTCTTGAAAATAGCTCAATCGTTCTGATGAACGAACCCTTGACTCAATTGTGTTCGATGACTTCTATCTGTAGCAATCGTTTATTTTGTTGAAGCAGGTCTTACGAGAATTGTAATAGATTTTCTCTAGTTGCTTTCATGTTTTCAATAATTAGCATTTTCCTCTGAGGTTTGCAAAGTTAATTTCAAAAAGTCACTCGTGGAAAGCAAAAAAAAGTTGTTGAATTCGACCTGAAACTAAAGAAAACTGCTTTGAAATGAGCACTTTGACGAATCCATTTTGGATATAAGTGAATCATTATCTAGGATATCTTATGCATATTTCTTTTTTTGGGTTGTGAATAAGGAGAGCGAATTAATATGTTTTTAGCAGAATTTAACTATGTCATCTGATTAGCTTTTTCGATGTATATCATATACAAATACAAATAATTATTTTTTGAGTAGCAAGTTTCACTTTTCGTTTCTACTGTTAACACGTAATTTGCTTTAAATTGAATAATAAGTTTATTTTTGAAACGTAATACGCATCATAATAATTGAAAATGTTCTGTATTTTTCACAATTACTTTGTAATCGGTCGAATCAATTTTATAATTAGTTTTTATTTCATCTGATCTTACCGTTAATTTAACTGCCTTTTCTTTTTTGTTGAAATTGTATTTCTTTTTTTTTTTCGAATAATATTTTGCAGTTTCTCCTTTTTTTTCTTTTGAATCTACGTAAATGATCAGGATTAAAAATTAATATTGATGATTAAGATTATGTGTGTCAACATATTTGGTTAGCACCATGTCCACGGAGCCTTCTAATTGCTCGCATCATAATTTCACAGATATATGTAGCTTCGAAGTTTGAATAATAAATTTCTCTAGAGAGTAGATCTTTTACTAGAAAAAATTCAGATGTTGGTGGCAGTGTGAAGTCATAGGCTGAGTCTGTATTGGAAGATTAATGGATTAAACTAAATTAATAACTCGTTTTCCAAGTCTCTCTGTTGTTTTGCCAACACATGATATGTCCACGAAAATTTGGTTCTTTCTTGTTTATTTATTTAGTTATTAGTTGAGAAGAATATATTTTCGTCTCATTCATTTTATTCTAGTATTTGCCCAAGGTTTTTCTAATCTGAACTAATAGTGTAACCAGAAAATTACACGTGTCAGAGCTGAGTTTCTAGTTTGTTTGTCGAACTTTGTCATCTCATTTAAATATATTTTTCAAAGCACAAAGTTTTATTTATTTTGGATAAAGCTGCCAAAATCAGCTTATTAATATCATCGAAGATATTTTCTCAAAAATCATGATTTTTAGGGGCAATCAAAATGCAGTTTTTTTCGTGTAGAAGAAATATACAGAATCATTCCCTTTTTAATTCGTTTTCTTTGCAAAAACTAAGACGATTGAAACGTGTACTATGTTGATAGTTTCATCTGACAATGACATCAGTTTTCGCAAAGTTTTAAAAGTTATGTAACATTTTCTGATAGTAAGAGAAACACAAGTGCTTCGTTCCTCAGTAGGGTTCTGGATTCCTTTTTTTTTATATTTTTGAATTTTACTGTTAATTCCATTATATATATTATTGTTAAAGGAAAAGCACTAGGCTGATGATAGGTATCTTTCTGGCAGAGACGACAAGAACAGTTTAATCTACATCAATAAGTGTTTCGATTGATACAGAATAAGTCTATGATTTTGCACCATATCAAGAAACAATATTGAGACTACATAAAGAAAAATTTATTTTCACAAGAGCAATCGACCAACGGACAAGTTTTCTTTCAATGTAATTTATTCCAGAGACTTGTGTTTTTCATCGATAGATACATGAACAGTGCTTTGGAAGATGAGAAATGATTTCAAAATTAACCATTTATTCAAGAGTGCATTTTTATGGTTTTTCATGATAATTTTAGCTCAAATTATACCAAAATACAGCCCAAAGAATGCTCTGTTAGTGATAAAATTCTTAAACTTTCAAATTAGTATTCTTAATGTATGAGTTTGAGAGAAAGCTAGAAGAGTGATAAGATTTAACAGCTGGCAGAGCATTCTTTTGGGTGTATTTTGATATAAGTTGAGATAAGATTATCATGAAAATCAATGAAACTGCACAAAAAAAAGATATGTTTGAAAACAGTTATTGAAATCTTCAAAGTTAATTAATCGTGTACAGATGGACGTTGGAGAGATTGATCTATCTAATGACGAAAACCACAGATCCCTACCTTGCTAGCATGTGGCTAATTCTGAAAGAAAAATATGATATGAAGAGAACGAGTTGTTATCGTATCAGTATACAACATGGGTCAAGTTTTTGTGACTTGATCGGAGTTGGACTCTAACATCAACTATTCTTGTCTTTCTCTGAAGAAAATCAATTTCTTGATCCTTGTTTTCTCTCTTCATGTCGTAGTTGGAAATAAACGATATATCATTGACCATTTTTCGTCCTTAATGTTTTGCCGATATGTTTCCATAGTTGATATAACATGATTATGTGGTAAAATTTTTTCTTCTGGGTCTTTAATTACTTACGCATGCAACCTGCGACCTTTTTAGCATCATTGAATAGGCAATGTACGTGCTATGCATGTTGTCCGATGTCAATGAAGAAAAGTCGGTGCAATACAAGGAAAGTACGTCAGATGTATAACTTCTTATTCTACTAAAATTTTCGGAACTCTTTTATAGAACTTCTAAATGAAAAAAAGTATTCAAATTGTCTTTTGTATCTGTAAAACGTTCAGACTACAGATCCACTTCGAGATTCAAAAATTTTTCTTAAGCCGACCCAAGTCGAAAACTGTATCCTATGGTCGTATGGTTGTTATAGAAGACAGAAGCATCGATATATATATATATTAATATAAAAACAAATGATAATTTGCTTTTCTCTAAACTGTCCAGTATAACCAGTAGAATTTTATCATGGAATCACAAAACTTCCTACAATTTCGAATACTCTAAGAAAAAAATTTTTTCAAAATGTACTTATCCTTCTTGAATTTTGAAAAACAAGGAATCCAAAGCTGCAGCATAAGATTATTTTGCAGAATAATCAAATTTACGTATATTCAAGATAATATGGACTTCATTTCTAAAGCTTTTTTCATATACTCTTTAAAAACAATTTTCAACAACGATTCATTGTACATGACGTGAGTGTACATAGTTCTTTTTTTAAGTCACGTCATCAAGCGATCTTGTCTTTTGTTATTTTGCTTTTTCGCAGGGAAATCATTTTGTTTCATTGTCTTAAGATGTCTATCAAGGTTAGCCGTAGAAAACAATACAAAAAAAAGATGTTCTTTTATGAAATTTTTTAGAAAGAATTTCAGTAGAATCCTGATTGCTATTCTGCGTCATTTCATCACTTTTTTTTTATCTATTAAAGCTCTAACTAAGATAGAGATATTTGCTCTTATCATGAAAACTTTAGCTGCACTTTTCTTGCATTCTGTTCTCCTTTTTTTACTGTTTTTTTTTTTTCTTTTAAAAAGCAATATACTCACTAACGCATATGCAGCACGTCAATGAAAAAAACAAAACGTATGATAAGGAGAGAACAACATGAATCAGTATTATTATCATCATCACAACCCTTCAAAAAGTGTCGTTGTTTTTATAATACTTAAGTAGTCGTCGATTGAAGTAATACAAGTATACATAAATCATCATGAGTGGCTATCCTTATGGAAATCCAGCTGGTAATTATCCACCACCCTATGGTATAGGTAACACTGGTTATCCAAACTATCCACCAAATAATAATTTTCAGCTTCCTCCACCACCCATACCCATGTATGCTGACAATCAATCATTTGCACCACCTTATGGCACGACTACTCCTTATATGCCTGGCAATAATAATTATTCAGCAGCACCCTACAATGTAAGTCAAATGCCAACTGACACATATGGTTATGGAGGTAGTAGTAACTATCCACCACCTCCACCATCTGGAGGACAAATGCCATCACCGATGTTGAATCAATCTGCACAACAGTATGAAGGTAAATATGAATTGATTATTTAAATAAATATATGAAAATCCCTTACTCTCTTTTGAGGTTTCGGAAATTCACAATATCAACAACCATATTCCCAAGAAATGCCGTCATCAGTGTCTGGCGGTTTATATCCACACTTGTCAACACCAGCAATACCATCAAACTATGCGGTGAGTAATAATCTATTTCTCATGTTCTTTTAAAATTATTTCTCTTTTTCATTTTGTTATTGCAGGGAGAAGGAATAGCTTCTTCATATCAATCCCAACATCAACATCAATCGTTTTATCCTGCACAACAACCATCAACAATACTTGCTAGTTTAGAGCAATACCAAGGAACAGTTTTTCCGGCATCAAATTTTAATGTCGATGCTGACTGTCATGCATTGAGTCAAGCAATGAAAGGAGCAGGTACATCAAAAATAGAACAAAAGAAGAAACTTGACTATATTCTCGAAATTCATTCTCATTTCAAGGAACCAATGAACGTGCTTTAATCGATATTATTGCTAATCGATCCAATGCGCAGCGTCAACAAATTAAACTTCAATATAAATCGATGTATGGCATGGTAGGTATATTCTAAATTTAAAATCAAATTGAACGTTTCATTTTTCGTTAACTTAGGATTTAATTAAACAACTTGCTGGAGAACTAAGTGGAAATTTTAGAGAAACGATTACTGCCTTATTTGAATCACCGGCACATTTTGATGCGTGGTCATTACATCAAGCTCTAAACGTCCATATTTTTTTGTATACATATAATCATAGTTGTATTTATTGTTACTTTTTTTAGGGAAGTAGAGAAGGTACACTGCGTGAAATTTTACTTACAAGAACAAATAGTGAAATTCAAGCAATTGTTGAATCATATAGACGAAGTAAATATATTTTATTCGTTTTCAATTAATTCATATTCTAACATATATATATATATATATATATATATATTGATAGCATACAATAGGGATCTTGAAAAAGAAATTAGTAGTCGTGTACGAGGAACTGATTTCAAACGAATGCTCATTTCTGCTGTACAGGTGAAAAGATTTGTTTGTGCTAAACTCATTGTAGTGACGCATTTTTTCTTTGTTATAGGCCAATCGAGAGGAATTGAGTCCACAACAAATTCAACAAGCTCGTCAGATGGGTATTGAAAGTATTATTGATCGGTAAAAATTTTGAATTTTCTGATAATTAATTTCTATGTTGTTATTCTTCGATAGTAATCGTGCTCGTCAAGATGCTGATGATTTGTATAAAGCTGGTGCTGGTAAATGGGGCACAGATGAGAAAGTGTTTAATGCTATTTTTGCTCGACGTAATTATTATCAACTTCGTGCTACTTTTGAAGAATATCAAAAAGTAAAGTTTAAAGTTTAATTTAAAAAAAAAAATTTTTCAAATTTCTTGTAGAAATATCGACAAGATATTGCTAAAGTAATTCGATCAGAATTTTCTGGTGATATTAAAGATGCTTATCTTGTTTTGATATCATGCATTCGTGATCGACCATCATTTTTTGCTGAACGTATTCATAATGCTGTTAGTGGTTTAGGTACCAATGATTCAACACTTATTCGTGTAATTGTTACACGTTCGGAGGTAAATGAAAACACAATAAAACTAATTGAAATGAAATCTTTTTTATGTGTATTGTCAGATTGATCTTGCACAAATTAAAGAACGGTATCAACAAATGTATAAGCGTTCGTTAGCTCAAGATGTTAGTGGAGATACATCGGGTGATTATAAACGAATTCTGTTGTCTATAATAAAATAATATTTGATTTACTATTTGTATGAAAAAAAAAGAATTATTGTCAGAATGAAAATTTATCTTTGTATTTGTGAAAGAATAAACAAAACGATTTTTATTATTTTATTTTTCATCAATTGTCAAGGAGAAGACTTACTTTGCCAATGATATAATAATTCACAATACTTACATCACATATGAATATCACCTATTATTGTGCTAATAGAAGTGACAACTAATCTTTCATGATCATAATTATAAACGAAAGATTTTCACAAACGGATGATTAAAAATTTTGAAATCACATTGATATTTAGAGAAATCAACTTCTTTACTGGAAAAAAAAATTTCTTCGACCTTTCTCTATAATATTAATTATTACTTAGATTTTCAATAGTTTACAAGAATTTTCTTTCTATTGATGTTTTAATTTTAAGCATGCTATTATTTGCTTATTTTCAATTGTCATCTGTAATAATATGTGCCAGAAAATAAAAATGAGCAAATGTCAATTAAGTTTAAAATAGAAACAAAAGCATATTTGTTAATGATACACAATAGGTACGGGTAATATAGGACGAGATTGTTGTGGTGCTGTAGTATTACGTCGAGGATGAAAATTAAGATCATCTTTGCTATGAAATCTATTATCATCATCGAACATTGTTGGTTTTTCTGGTCGATAGAATGTACCCCTATTATGAATAATAATAATATTTTAAAAATAATTCATTACTAATAAATAACATACGTTTTAGCTGAATACCATTGACGAATTGGATGTGGATAAGTAACACCTGTTTGTTGAAGTTCAAAATTGAGCTGCTTCTGATATTCAACTTCTGCTTGCATGCCTTCTACATATTCACGTTGAATCTCATATTCTTCCTAATGAAATTTTAATTAATTAATTAATTTTTATAATTATCTAACTGTACCTCTTGTTTCTTTCTTTGTTCATAATTCATTTGTCCAATTAAATCTTGTCGATAGGCAAGTTGTTTTGTTTTATGACGTGCTTCACGATCTGCTTCTTCTAATTTAACTTGTTCAGAAATATTTTTCATATTATCTTTTTGCCATTGATGTTCATTTGCTTCTTGTACTTTTCTTTCATCTAAAGTGAATTGAATAATAAAGTTTATTAATTGATTAAGAATAACAATACATACTTCGTTCGATTAATTGTTGTTGTCGACCTTCAATAACTTCTTGAAGAAGTTTAGAACGTTTATCTTTTTCTGCACGTATTTTTTCTGCACGTTTCGCATTTTGTCTGTCTATTTCAGTTTGTAAAACACGATCAAGTTCAATTTGTTGTCTACGTTCATCAAGTTTTCGTTGTTCTAAATAAGCATGATAACGTTGATTTTCATCACGAAGTTCGAACTAAAAGAAAATTTTCAAATTTATTTTTTGAATTCTTCTTAAAACAAAAAAAAACGATGAAAATATATAAACCTTTCGTTGTCTTTTGTCGATTTCGTCACTTATAGTTGCATGTTGAGTTTCTTCAGTAAGTTTTTGTTCAAGTGCTTTTTCTTCTTCAGCTTTACGTTGTTGAAGTTTTTGTTTAGTACTAAAACAAAAAAAAAATAACTTAAAATAAGATTAATTCAATCAATCGAAAAGATTAATTTACGTCAAAACTGTATCAAGTACACGTTTTTGTTCTTCTTGTTTGCGTAGTTTTTCTTGATATTCAGCAATTTTTTCATCTTTTTGAGCACGAAATTGTATCCACTATATGTAACAAAATATTCTCAAATAAGCAATCAAGTAAATACCAAAAAAAAGGGTTACGGCAGCTTCAGAATATTCTTTTCGCTTGCTTTTCTGTAAATTACGTTCAGCTTCTGAAGCTTGCATTTGTTCACGTATAATTTTAGCCATATTTTCTGATTTTATTTTAGCTTCTTGTGCATCACGATCTTCACGTTCTTTCTTTTTTGCAATATCATTATACCATAATTGAGACCAAAATTGTTCTTCTGCCTATATTTTACATGACATATTTAATGTCATTTAAACACGAAAAAAGAAAAGATCTTACTTGGTGATCTTTTTTCTTATCGAATTTTTCTTTCATTTGCCATAAATGTTCATTACCTAATTCATGATCTAATTCTTTCGATTGAAGTTCACGTAATTCAGCACAATCACGTCGAAAACGTTGATCATATTTTTCTTGTACAAGTTTAGCATGTTCACTTTCTTTTTCTTCTCGTATACGTTTAGCTTTTTGACGCATTTTTCCAATACGTTCACTTACACTTTCTTTAGATGATTCGGCTTCAGCAAGATATTGTGCATCTTCAGCAGCAAGTAATGCACGTAAACTAAAATTAAAAGAAAATATGAGGAATTTCAAATTTGACAGCTTTAAAAATTTGAAATAAAATTATTCTTCGCAAAAATACTTTAAGTCTTATACACACATATAGTAAAAGTATTGTATAAAAAAAAAGAATTTTATATACCGTTCACGTCGTTCTTCGAGTTGATGATCTGTATGATTTATTCTTCGTTCAACTTCACGTCGTACTTGAGCATGAAATGCTTTAGTTGATGATAATTCATGAAATTGTATTTTATTTAATTCTGTTTTTGCTTCTCGATTTTGTTTGTCTCGTGTTTCTCGAATAGCTTCAAGTTCACGATTTTGTACTACAAGATTTTTATGTGGTCGATAAGGTTTTTCAAGCTAAACAAACCAACAAATAAACAAGAGTTGATTCAAGATTTATTCGAAAGAATCATGAATTTTTTTTTTGTTTTATTTACCACACCGAATTGACCAGGTTGTGGTCCAGGAATATCACGAATACGTAAAGGTGGATAAAGACTTGTAGCCATTAGAAAAATAAGTACCACTGAAGAAAAAGAAAACTTTTTTTTGCTCTATTAAACTAAACACAAAATAAATGCCATGTTAAGAAAACTTTCCAAGCAAAAGACTTCACACATGAAACAATACTTTGATTAATCTAAAAAAATATGTTTGATACTTTTAAATAATATTTTTAATTGAAATTTCGATAAATATTTTCATTTATATTTTATAATTATCAACAAAAAACAAAACGACATCTATATAAATCTGATAAATATTGTCAAGGTAACACACTTGATTTATTTGACAGAATGGTATTATAGAAAATATTAAAATTTATTTATCTGTGTATCAAAATGTTGTCTGGTAAGATTCTTTTTTTTTGTCTAGCTGTTTAGCTTGCATCATCTAGAAATATTTATATATAAATCAAATGATTCTTTGCATGATTTGCTTGTCTTGCTTTTCTCAGGTGAAAAAACTATTTCACCAAATGTTGCTTTTGGCACAACAGCAATCAATCGACCAACATTTCCTAATAATATAGCGCATGATTGTTTTGGAAATCATCAAACACCATTACGAGGTGTACCAAATCTGTAAATTTCTATTTTATATTTAGTTAATTAATTGCTTGCTATTTATGCTCTATCTATTGCTTTAATATCACTAGTGGGCCAGGTTCATATAATAATGAAGAAAAGACAACATTTCAATATGTTCTTGATCATCAACCGATGAGTCGTCGTGGATATACTTTCAATGCACGAACAGAACAACGCAAAACCTTTGAAGCAAAAGTGATTTAAAAGAAAAAAATTTAGCTTTATTTTTATTGTTGCTCAAAGAAGAAGATAATTAATTTATTGTTTTTTTTTCTTCGAATAGGTTGATGTACCAAGTCCAGATACATATCAAATGGATCTAACGCGTTTACCAGATAAAAAACGAGCATTCAAACCTTTTAATGCAGCTTCTGAAAGATTTCCAATGCGTGCTAAAAGTGCCGATACACCAGGGTATAGAATATTTTTTTTACTTTTATAATTCATTAAAATTTTTCTCGTTACAAAAACAAAAGACCTGGTAATTATGAAAGTGATGTTAAACAGAATCGTCAAGTACATATGCTTCATAGTTTTGGTGGTCGAACTAAACTTATTCCTGCTGTTAAAACAAAGTGTATGTCATTAAATATGGACAAGGTTTGAAAAAGAACTTGTTTTGATTTTATGTGAAATTTTTATTTTGTGTTTCAAGTGTATAATTTGTCTTCAAACACCTATTGGAGATTATTATCAATATCGAAATGAAATTCTTTGTTCAAGTTGTTTTAATTTTAATTGGCAATGGCAAGAAAAATTTAAAAGAACGTATGAGTTCAAAGAAAAAAAAACTTGATCACATTCGAAATTATTATATATTCTTTTTTAGATATCTTCAAGCTTTTCAAAAAGTTCGTGATTGTTCTTATATTCATGATCATGCTGGTACTTCAGCTAAAATTCAAGTAATTAACTAAATTTCATATGATTTAATATAATTCGAAAAATTTTTTTATTTCAGTTAGTGGATAATAAAGTTACAAAGAAACTTCAACGTAAAGAAGCTTATCTTAGTCTCTATTGGCCTTAAAATAATCATTTTATTGAATAAAAAAAACAAAAAAATGACATTATAAAAATTGAAAAAAAAAATTGTCTTTCAATAAAATTTCTCTTTCTTTTATAATTTATATTGTAGATCAGTTTTTAACATGACAACTTCACATAATTTATCAGAAATTGAACGAATTAAAGCTGAAATTCATCAAGAAGAACAAATAAAGTAAATTTTTCTTGTAAAAAAAAAAAAAAAGACACAAAAGTATTTATTTGTATTTTATTAATAGATTATCACTTGAACAATCATGTCATGAATTACAAAATACAGCTGGTGAATTAGAAAAACGATTAAAAATGATTGATGAAGAAAGTATGTAAGATTTCAATTATTTTCTTTTTCTTTATTTAAATATTTAAGAAACTATTCTGAAAGAAAATTTTATATAGTGAATACTCATGTTGATGTAGGTGGACAAGTAGAAGGTATTTTTGTTTTTGTTTAAAACACAACAAAAAGAAAAAAAAAATAATAAAATCTAATCACAATGTTTTTTCTGTTTTTTTTTTATCCATCAAAACAATAAAAATGTTTGATGTGATAAAAGAAAAAAAAAGAAGTTTTATTTTTTGTTTTTTTTTTAATTTGAATTGAATTCAAAAATTCATTTTAATATAATTAGGTAATGAATGGAAAACACGTTTTGAAAATCAAGAAGAAATTAATCGTCATTTAGCAAGACAAATTATTTTACTTGAAAAAAATATTGATCAAGCTAAAGAAGAACAAAAAACTGGTATGCGCGAACAAGAATGATTAAGATAAATTTTATAAATTTACTTTTTTTTTGTTTTTAGCAAAAACGCGTGCATCAAAAGCAGATCCAAATGAAGTAAAATTTTCTTATTATTATTTTTTTTGTATTATGTTTTAAAAAGAAGTTAATGCATATTTGAATTTTGTTTGAAGGTTAGTCAAGAAGTATTGAGTGTTGTTGAAAATGAAAAAAAGAATCTATTGAGTCAATTACGTGATTATGAATGGCGATTGGAACAAGAAAATAAGGTGTTTACTTTTTTAGTTTTTCAAATTTAAAATAAGATTTTTTTTTGTCTCTTAAGGCTTATCATAAAGCAAATGAAGAACGAAAAATCTTAACAAATGAAATTACTGATGTTCGCAGTATGATAAATTTTTGTTTGATAAGAATAAATATATTTATTAACTTATTTTCAAAAAAAAAAAATAGATGCAATTTCAGTTATGAAAGAACGTTCTCAAACAGAACACACCAAAACTGAACGAAATGGACAATTAACTAATCGAGAACCGAATGAGTATGTCGAATTAGAAAATTAATAAAAAACTTAGTTTTGTTTTTTTATTTTTATTTAGTAATATTCCTATGGATAAACGTGTTATTGATCCAAGAAAAGGTCCAATTAATCGAAATGCAGCAACACGTTCATTACCAAAATTGACTAAACAACAATAATAGCAGAAAATAGGCATGTTAAGCATTGCAATGAATATGGGTACTGCTTCATTTCTCAATATTCTACTGACCGCATCATTGTTCGGTGAATTACTTCATATTGTATATGAATTATTCTCATCTTTTTTTTTTTTTTTTTTGTTCTTTGTTTGCTGTGTATTATTATTATAATCAGATAAATTGGGAATCTTTTAGACTGCGCGTAAAAAAAATAGATGAAAACTTATAAATTTTATTAGTAAGATTTTTACTTTTGGTTTTGCATTCTTTTTTTCACTTACAAATAATGTTTACTAGAAAAGAACATGTTGATGTTTTATTAAATATACTTAATGAAGCTGTCACAATGTTACTTGATGCTTGTAATGTTAATCAAACTCAAGATGAAATTCTATCATTGAAAAATTTGGCTAAGGATAAATATTCAAATCATAAACAACAAAAGACAATTAAAAATTTTCGTTTTATCAGAAAAAAACCCATTGAGGATAGAACCAGAGAATTTTTTTTTAAATGTTGAATCAAATACTACTATCATTAAAAACATGACACGGACAACAAGAAAGAATTTAGTTAGCAAACAAAAGATGAGATTGATATTGACCAATATATTATGGTAATTCAGCATTTGTTTGTGAGATTATATGTGCAATATTACGTTCGAGATCATCAATTCGTCGACCCATATCATCAACTAGAAACAGAAGGTTGAAGAAGAGAAACAACAATAAAAAATTTTTGTTTACTTCTTGTCATAATTGAATCACTCATATGTCCAAATTTATCTTGAATTTGTGAGATTGTATTTTGAACCTAAAAGAAAAAGATAAACAATCACACTTTTTAATATAATATATTTATCTACTAAATTAACAAGTTCTTGAGCATTTTGTGGTTCACGCATAGGATATTCTTGAAGATTAATCAATCCTGTTGTTGTAGTTGTATTTGTCATGATCCAAGAGAAAGAAAAAGAAGCTAAAATTTTAATGTTATGTTACTTTTTGTTGTCTTGCAACTCTTCTCTCGTACTCGACTATTGTTAGATGGAAGAAGAAAAAGAATTGTCTTTTACTCGACGTGTTTTGAGTCTATTCCGATGCTGTATGTGAACGACACAACGATAGAGAATGAGCAACGCGCTACCGACCGATGTTATTTCTATGGATTGTGCTTTGTTAAATAGAAACGAGAAGCAAAAAGAAAAAAAAGAATTGAAGATTTTTTTTTCCTGCTTTCTTTCTTTATTAAAAGTAAAAATTTTCAAGTAGGCTTCGGCCAACAGTACGTAATCGGACACTATTTATTAAGTGTTTAAACAAACTCGAATAACATCAATGTTCAAGGATGACAAATTCGAAAAAGAAAAAAAATCTTGAATCAATCAAAAACAAGAGAAAAGTCAACGCTTTTCTTTCTATTTATATGTATTTTTCTTGATATCAATTTCATTCTATGATAGTGAAATTAAAAGTAATATCTATTTTTTAGATCATCATGATGACGTCATACCATACATACATTGCATCATATGTTTGATATTTCAGAGCCCACTAGCGGAGGTATATATACGCATGGATTATTTTCTCTTTCTATAAGATAAAATAAAAGTCGATCGAATGGCGAACGTAACAACAACACAAACAGCATTGTGTTTAATACCGCCCAATAATGTTTGGGAACAAATTCAATCGATTCGTTCAATTCATGACAAAGCTTATCCACGTTGGATGCCACATATTAATCTAATATATCCATTTACACCTGAAAAAAATTTCGATAATATTAAAGTACAATTAGAACCGATCCTTAATCGAATAAAACCATTTCAAATTCAATTTGATGCATCATCATTTCATTATTTTCAACAACGAGGTGATGAATGTACATATCATTTAAGACCAAAAATTAGTACAGATGTTGTTGAACTTCAAAAATTAATTCAAAATCAATTATTAAATTTAATTAAAAATAAACGTCCATTTGAAGCACATCTTACACTTGGTCAAACAACAGGATCAAAAATTTCCGATGTTCTTATTGAAATGAAAGCTATATGGAAAACAATTGAATTTACTGTTGATCGTGTCTATATGATTAGTCGAGAAAATCATCCAGAAAATTTATTTACAATTAAAAATGAAATTCTTTTATTAGGTCAAGAAAACGAATCGCTTCCTCTTGCAATATCTAATTTAACGGTAAATCCTAGTAAACCATTAGCCGTAAATTATCTATGTATTATTTCACCAAATCAATTTTCTTCACATCTTCTTCATTTATTTGAAAATACATCATTGCAACCATGTAAACCATTTCGTATTATTCTTGCTGAATATGAAAATGGTCCTATCGATTCTGATTTGCGTTCAAAACTTGAATCAACAACAAAATTTACACTCGATTTTGGATCAGATTCAATTGATTACGATCAAACAACATCACGTCTTTTTCTAAAACCAACTAATATGGAATCAATTCATCGACTAAATATACTTGATGAGAGTAAATACGATGGTACGTTAACGTTAGGTGAAATACATGAAAATGATTTCGATAAAATTAGTGATCGGTTTGTAAAAAGTTGTACAATTAATAATTATAAATTTGAAATTGATCGAATACATTTAATGGACTTAAATGGACGATTCAAATTTATTTTTCGATTAAAAAATTAATTTATATCACTGAACATTTTTTTTATTTAACAAAATAAAAAATCTCATAGTAATGCATTTTCATAAGTTTAGAATCCAATCTAGAAAATTTTCTGCTACAAAACCAGTTAGATACGAAGCCTTCGTTAACATTAACAATACTTCAAGGAGTCATATAGAGAAAAACCTATTAATGAAAGACAATGTTTTGTAACTTAATAAGGCGTTCGTTCGGATAAGCTTCTCAACGTTTCAGATTCTTATAAAAGAATAGGTTTTTGTTGATTGAAAATAGTTGTATACTCAAAAACAAAAAAATACTAAATATCCATTTGACAAAATCGATAGCATTCAAATATGGCTTTAAACAGATAAGAGATAATAGAATAAGATAAATTACAAGAAAGTATATTTTTAATTTCTAGACTAGATGAATAATCAAAAGTCTGTTATTTTTCAATGAACATACCAAGTCGAGTTATAAGTTGTAAATCAATGTACGCTGTAGCGTGATTGAGAAGCTTTCCGAGATATAAAAGGAATTTGTTTACAATTTCAAGAGTGGACAAATTATCTAATTGTATGAGAAACAAAAGCCAAAATGCCAAGGGAGAAACATCGTACTTTTGTACTTTAAAGTACGTAAAGTACAATGAAGTACAATTATGGGTGGGAATTTAGCGTTATGTTACCAGGTAACTGGTAACCGCAATTGGGAGACCTCGATCTTTCAGCTAATGAGGCCGTATTTTCGGAAAATAACGATTTTCTATAAAGGTTGACGAAAGTAAGTCGGGGTCGAGGAATCTGATTCTGCAATCGATTTCTCAAAATTCCGAAGTGGAGTTTTGGGCTAAGGAAGAAGTATTTCAAGAAAATAACGATTTATCATAAAGATTGATGAAAGTAAATTGTGGTCGAGGAATGCATTCTGATATCGGTTTCTCGAAATTGGAAACTCCATTATTAGACGAAGAAAGGGGTGTTCTGCAAAGATGAGCATCTACGATAACGCCTCGTTTCACCTGTTGTGAAAAATCAATCTTCCTAGTGGGCTTACTTTTAGTGTATTTCGGAGTATTGTCGAGAGTCTGTATTTTGTCAATCCCGTTGGTCGTTCAAAATGGTCTTTCAGTGTGAGATACTTCAATGATGCTTGCAGAGTGGAAGGCTCATTGGCGACCCGCTTCGCTGGCATCGATAGTATATTCAAATTTGAGGGATCTTTTTGCATGAAACTGATTTGCGGGAACTGCCAGGATGTGCTTGTATATTGTAAACCAGTGAAGCACTGTAGCTGAAGGCATCAAAGGGTGACTATGGCTGAAGTTGTGCTTTTGGCTTGGAGTGTATTAGTGTTGGTCTGCGCACGAATTGAGGCTCTTGTGATTGTATTTGAGGAGGCGCACAAATTGACCGCTCAAATTTACAAACGGTGCAGTTACACATAGCACATATTCGCAGCTTTCATCATTTCATCCAATGATGCGTGTTTCTTTCGTTTGAAGAGCTTTATGCGCTTCTGAAGCTTTGTAAAATATAAAAGTTCTATGGATATGTGGGGTTCACCGAGTTCAACAAGAACCTCGTAGTGGAAGGCTGAAAGTTCAAAGATTCAGTTTAAGGCAACAAATACAGTGTGGTTCGGGAATTCCTTGTGTTCCTTTTATTTTGACGGTTTCTAATGCTACTTGTGAGGCATGGTTTGCTGCCCGCAAGATGGGATTGATTTTTAAAGTAACGCAGATAAAGAAGTCATAAAATACTTTGATTTTTATCATTTGTAGGAACAGCTTTGGTAGAGTGTCTGAGAGCCTGCTACTGTCTGGTGTGGGTGTCAGGATCAGTGGGCCTTTGTGCTCATTAAAAATGGTTGCTACTGTTGGTGCCTTGGGATTACTGATAGCTTCTATTACTTGCGTGGAAACTTCGGTAGTTCTTCGTAGTCCCTAGCGATTTCCGGTAGTCAATTGGTGTACCTGAGAGTCTCTGGTAATCTTTATTAGTTCTTTGTGATTTCCGATCGTGGCTAATGACTGCCTATAGTCTCTGTCGGCTTCTTGTAATCACTTGTCGTTCTGCACTGTCCTTAGGAGTCCCTTTCAATATGCGTAACAGATCTTCTTATCCTTTATCAATAGCTCTCGGTGAAAAAGCAAAGTGGGATGCAATACGATTTTTGGCCAGATGTAATAACTGCGAAAATATACGGTTAACTGATAAGCATTGACAAAGATAGAAATGTTCGAACAAAAACTATCATAGTGAAGTTGATAACTATCCTGAAGTTATATGAAAAATCAAGTATTTACAGCATCTACATTAAAAAAGATCCACTTGTTACGAGACATATGCTTTGACCCAATTTTATTCATGTATATATCTTTCTCTATGCTTCTTCAGTATCATATATTACTGAGTCCAATAACATTATGTAGTATATCGTCCTTCCGAAGTCAATGTTATTAAAAGAACTTACACTCAACACTGAAAATAGCCCATCAATTACTTTTCTCTTACTATTCGATTTAATACCACGTCTGCAGATAATTCATAAACAGATATTTTCCGTGCAAGGTCTTTATCATACTGCATTTCTGCATAAAATTTCAAGTAATTTCAACGACTTCATTGTGTACTACACCCCTGCTACCAAGGCATCTATTCAGCATCGAATGCCATGGCCAACTATTACATGAATTCAAACCGGTCCTGAACAGGTCACCCTCCATTCCACACCTGATATTACTAGCTTTCACCAAGAAGACCCAACATCCATGAAAACAATTTTCAGAATTCAATGCAAACTCTACTCAGCAGAGTGCAGTAGAACCCGCTTTCAAACGGTGAAAGGTACTTTTAATAACGAAGTGTTGTTATTGTACTTAAAAGATGGTTTTCCATAACGAAACACCAGAAATCCACAGGATCCATGAGAATGTTTCTGGGAAACCCGTAAGCTAGTATAAGGTCTTCTTCAATTTTTCTTCCTCGTCACCTAACCTTCTAGCAAGGCCGAGTGATCCGATTCGACACAATCACTCATTTCTACCAAATTTGACACCCATAACTTGTAAGCTCAAAACTCTCCACTTCAATACATTTCGTCAACCTTTATAGAAAATCGTTATTTTCCAGAAATCCCCCTCCCTTACAATGAAGTACTTTAAAGTACATTAAAATACTTTAAAGTACACTAAAGTACTCTAAAGTACATCAAAGTACTTTAAAGTACATTAAAGTACGAAAGTACAGAAGTACGATGTTTCCCGCTTGCAAAATGCAGACCATATAATTTCGTTCATGAGTTTGATGTATTAACAGATCAATCGATTCTTTAATCTTTACTGTATGCTATGAGATGTCTTAAAATTTCAATAGATATACAAACTTGTGTCATTTTCGGTTTTTAGATAGAATCTATTGAATTATAAAGTCTTTCTTGCTGAAGATTTTTTTTTTTTATTCACATTTGTTTTCTATCGCACACATCTTTACTCTGACCGTCACGATAGTTGAGAATGCACGAATGATTGATCAAGGTCTTCTAAAAGCAATTGAAAAAATGGTGCATACAACACTGATGATTAAACAAATTGTTTTTCGATAAAGAAACATTTCTCTTTTTGAATGTGTCATAAAATATGTCCGATCTGAGCAAAAAGAACTGCTCATTTTCTTGTTATGTGACTTTGTTCACGATTCATGTTTTGATTTAAGGTCATAAAATACATTGATCAATTTAATTTGAATCATATCTTGAATAGAAAAAAAAAGAGCGGGTTACTAATCGAGATAAACTTATGTACATAATATTTCTTATTGGAATGAAATTTTTATTTTTTTCCTACACGACGAGAAAGGTACTCATCAGTTGCCCTGGTTCGTTTGTTTAATAGATATTTTTACTGTATTGTTAACGAACACTATTATTCTCGCAATCTGATATCTATACTCAGATTACAGATTTGCTACATTTTATTTAAGCAAACATTCGTTTTCTTTTTTTTTTCTATTAGAATTCTTAAAGTAATTCATTTCATGCTTTCTCATTCATCTTGAAACCATTGCTTTCCAAAGAAAAATAGAAGAAAAAGCACGATTCTCATTTGAACACAAATAAAAGTCGTTTGCTTTTCTTATTGCTCATGAGGCATCAAACGTGATTAAAATATTCATGTTTTCTGTCAAAGTAATAAACTTCTAGTACTTTCTTTTGATAGATGAGTTATTTGATATGCAAATAGATCTTCACAATTTCTTTTAGTAATCAATTTTACAATCATCAGCACAGAAATAAATCTCATTGAACATCAACGTCAAATTTAGCAATATAATAAAAAAAGGCAAAAACACATATTGTTAAGATAGATATCACAAATTATTATTATTCTATAATTTATTTACATTGGATATTTAATATGATCAACTACTGCACGACTAGGCAAGTTAGAATCATGATTGGAACTCGATTCATTCATTCAAAAAGCAAAAGTTGATATATTAACACCTAAGTCGATTTTAATAGAAATTGATATTTTTCTACCAGATAATTTAACCTATGATCTTAATTCATATCAATCTTTTAATAGACTTACTAGAAAAATTACGTGTGTTCTCGTTACATCAGTACCAATTGAACGTAAGTTTTCTCAAGGCGATCTTTTAATTAGATCACATAGCTGAAATTTTTCACGTGTTGGCAGCTGAGTGGAAATATTTTTGAACCAGTATCCTGCAACCAGATTGGGTCCGAATTTGGCATCCTATCTGGTACTCCAACTCGGCAATATATGAGTTCTGGAAGTTTCAACATATTTGAACTTTTTCAAACTGCCACACATATAAAAGCATAGGAACGAAGACTGGTTTGATCATGGTTAGATAAAAATTCATCTACAGATGAACCGTATGAAGAAGTAACTATATACTTGGGGAGAAAAGATAAACATGTATTATTATGATAGAAAAAGCATTCATTTGATCTATCCGCAATTATAACGTTTGATATCAACACCATG